ACTGATATTGCTCGAATAAACTTCTTTGATATATATATCATTGTAACAAATATTATCTTAGAGCAGCAAGTGTGTCTAATGATATCATAGTATAGATGGAGTTCTCTTGAAAATATTTTTTCTTCTTCTCATCTTGCTATTTATTAATTGATTATTAATAATATATTAGATAAGCCATATACTAAATACAAATATGTGTTCTTTACTTCTTTCTTTCTAATGTAATGCAATATAATAGATTAATTTGATAATATTGTTTTCAATTCATATAAGAGTATAATGTATATATCATTCTGCAAAATTACGAGTATTCCATCGTTTTCTGGTTTTACATTCATAATCAAATAACGATACCTGTAGAATTTAATTGTATAAAAGTAATGTGTTTAAATAAATAAATAAGTGATGATTGTAATTATAATAAAAGCAGCGAGAAATAATAAAAATGAAAAGATATAGTTGCGTAGTTTATGATGAGAAATTCAATGCCACATTAATGTAACAATGAGAAAGCGAAGGTTTGGCGGAAATTATAATTACTGATGATTGCATCATTAGAAATAATATATAAATTTAGAGAATAAAAACCTATGAAAAGATTTATTAACAGAATTAAAACATTTCCGTGTCGTAATCCTTTCATACAATTGACTGCTATCTTCATATCTTTCATCAATATATGAATAAAATGTATCCATAGTGCATTAGTCTCATTTGTGACATTTTGTGCTTCTATCGAACTAATACACATCTACGATAACATTTGCATATGTAGTCAATTGAGTCTATATGGCATTTATAAATAAACGTCAATGTGGAAGCAGAATATATAGAGTTTTGAATCTTTAATATATTGATCTATGCTTTTTAATAGTTTTCAATTTTATCTATTGATAAGAATGAATTATAAAATGATTCTTGCAATATAATAGAACAGTTTTTGATAACAGCTATTTTCTTTTAATTTTATAGATATGAAATGTCGTGTACTTGATAAAATGTTTACTAGAGTTTTTCGAGTATAACTTTAAATTCACAGTAAATATCAAATTTGTCCGGAAGGAGACACAAATAAATATTAGTAATTATATATAAAAGTTTTTTGTATTTATCTGAAAAAGCATTTATTACCATCTCTATATATTTATTTTGTTACTCATGCAGTTCATTATTCAGAACCGACAGGTTGGAGAAATTTTTAAAGTATATTTTTCCTTCCTAAAGATTCTTTTCTTGTTTGCAAAACAACTCTGGATTTGTTTATATATGTATCAATAAGATTTTCCATCGCTTTGTGTTTTCGTTCAACTTCTGATACATCATTTAGTGCTTAAAGTTGTTACTAAGTGTACAGATGTGTGTATATTTATTGAAATGACTAACATATGTTCACAGAGAAAATAACAAACAAGGAAATCTTTTCTCACTTATAAACTCGGCCTTCTTTCTTTTTATTATTGTGTTGTTTGTTTGTTTATTTTGGATTTTGTTACATATTTGAATAGTAGAAATTGTTATGATCTACATCTTGTTTAGATATGATCGTAAGAATTTTTCCTCGTTACATTTATGATAATACGTATATATATCCGTTTTTTTCTGTTGTTATTAGTTGTTTGTTATGGACTTTTCCTGTCTGTTGTAATGATATTGAAAATCCGCTTCGAGAATTTTAAAAGAACATATTTATAAGAATAGTTCATTACAACACACTTCATTAAATGCAGAGGTAGCGTTACATCGGAATGCCTCATTATTACATTCAGCTGGTTTGTTCGGTAAAGCCATGTAATCCGGAAAAGAAAAATATGGAAAAAGAAAATCCGGAAAAGAAAAGTCTGGATAATAAAAATTTGGAAAAGAAAACTCCAGAAGAGAAAAAAACGGAAAAATTTTACTTGAAGTTTATTAATGATAAAAGACATAACAATTAAAAAGTGTAGAAATATTAGAGACAATCTGATGAGCTTATTTCTCTAAGATCACCAGAAGCGAGAATCCTTCGCGAAGCTCGGCACGATCGATATCGTCGTTGTAGCAGCGGATGTTCAAAGTGTAGGTGTGGTGTGGGTAAGAGTGTGAGTATGAATGTGGATGAGTGTGAATCGGTGAGTGAGGGTGAATGTAAGTGTGGATGTATAGGTATGGATTACTCTTCTTCCATATCAACATCCTTACCCACACCCACACCACAAAACCTTTCGAGATGATTTATTTCTTTTCCAAATTTTTATTTTACGGATTACTTGACATATTTATTTATTCGCTATGTTTACTCAATGAGTATTGTAGTCATACGAAATATAAATACTGGTTATGTTATAATCAAAACAGCTTGATTTGTAGATTGTGTAGATATGAGTTTTACCAGACGATCATATATATGGATTATTTTTCAAAGAAAAATACAGGTTGTCTGTATCTTTTATTGAAATGAATAAAAGATCATTTTCTTGCTGCAATGACGTACAATTCATGTGTGATTAGTTTTGAAATTTAAATATTTATAAAATATCTAATAGGAAAATAATGAGATTTTACTCAACCAAAATATCAAATCTAAATAGAATCTTGAATGTTATTATCGACATTGTCGGAAATAGTACTCGAAGGGGAAAAACGTGTATACAGTAATATAATAATATAATAATATATAAATGAAAAAATACATAATTGGATATTTTTTTCTTCTTTATCACTGCGAAAACTACTGTTCTAGATATTAATATTTAGTCAGTGTGCGTGTCATATTTTTCTTGTCATATCTCATTTTGTTTTTTTCTGTCTGGTCACAATAAACACCTGTACGATTATACGAAACAATTTGTTTTCGTTTCTTTTTATTCTCTTTTCATATTTTTCTCACCGATATTTGTACAAAAGCAAACATAACCATATTTATTTGTTTAAAAAAAAGGTATACGTTTGTAACGAAAGTAATGACATCTAAGCAATTCAAGTCATATTTCAATCAAATTCTTTATGAAAATCCTCTGCCATTCGGGTACCAATGGCAATTACAACACTTGCAGAACTCAAGTCTTAACGATCCAGGTTGGTCAGAATTACTTTATCGAACTTTTGCAGAGTAGGTTTTAAAGCATGACATTAATGTGTAATGCTTCATTTTCTATTTCAGATACAAATGTAAACGTGGACACCGCTGGAAATCTGCATGGGCCATGGTTATATTTCGATTTCGGCTTGATTTTCGTAATGGTTTTGGAAGGGTTCGAATGAGGCGCTTTGGTGTACGTTGTAGGGAATGTGGAGATAAGGATGATTCATATCATGTCGGAATCTGTAGTGAAACACAAACTTGGTATTTAGTACAGTGTCTTCTTCGCCAGATCGTCCCGAGATGCTATGGTGAACGATTTTATTATGATGATGATGATGTACAAAATGTTGTTATTATTGAAACTGACGTTCCAAGCGGAGGAAATGGTGGTGGATCACATCCAAAGGATTTATGTGAAGCATGCGCTAATAATTGTTGTCAAGAAAGGTTTAAAAGATTGACAAAAAAGAAATAGACATCAGTTTCCTAACAAATTTCTTAATTATCACATTCATTTGTTTTTCGAAATAAATTAATAACCATATGATATAAACTAAGAAGATTTGTATCAATATTTAAATTATTAATTAAATAATAACAGTCATACACTATTTCTTTTTAATTTCAATGTTTATTATTACTCAATTGAAAATTTCAATAATATAAATAAACTTTTGATATTTTTTTGTAAACTAGCATATGAACAGTTAATTGACAAAAATTTATGCATTCATATATTGCTAGTCTTCATAAATTTATTTTCATCTTCCCAACATGATTTATATAAAAAAAGAATATTGAATAAAGGAATACATATATTAATAAGGCACCTATATAAGTGCAAAGTAAACATATATAAATACTAAGATCATTTTCGCTAAGTACAATTTGTATGTACTAAGTAAGTAAATCGGTTTGTTAAATAAATTTATTGAGCGTTCAGTTAAAATAATATTCCTCTATAATGAAATTTTTTTCTAAACGTACTAATTATAAACTTAATCTACTGAATCTATTAGTAAAGAAAAAAAAATTCGATATAAACAGAAAAAATGATCTACAAGTCGTTATTTTTCGTTTGTTTGTTTTGTATATATTATATTTGTTGAGATGTATCTCAGTCATTCTATTTCGATCAGACGATGAATTTTCCTTAAGATGTATAATTGACTATTCTATATTTAGCCTGTAATTTGTTATGGGTAAAATATGATTCAAGTGCATTCATTTTAATTATAATCTAATACTTCTTTATATATATATATATATATCTGGTTCTCGATGCAGAGGTGCACGGTAGTACTCCTTACACCTCGTGATTTTTTACAAATAACTTGCTTGTGGGAAGTAGGTGCTAAAAAGAGACCGAACGAGTCGAGATGGAGGATAGAAAACGGTGCTTCATACATCTCCACTTCGACGTTCACTTCAGATTTACAGACAACAAAGAAAACAAGGGTAGGAATGAAAAGTAACAGAAGCTTTCTTAATCGAATAACATTTCAATTATTTTTTTTTTGTACTCCGCAAAAATATTTCACCTAGAAATCTAAACGTTTTCATTAAGAATTTATATAAAAATGTTCTCTTATTTAATAAACTATTATGTATATAGCATGAAATTCACTAAAATGACGTTTATATTTTAGATTAATCATACTAAGCAAAAAATAAAGCTACGTAATTTAAACTAGGTGCAAATATTCTTAAAGATTTATTTGTAAAATTCATGTACTATATCCATTTATCAAGTTTTGAGCATGTTGTTTTATATAATGACACAGATTGATATCATTTACTATTTATTTTTAATATTTTCCTTGTTTTTTTTGTGTCATAGAAATCTTCTGTTGATGCATTTTAAGTTAATAATTACGATTAAACTAAGTAAAAATGACGTCGACAAAAAAACCTACTATGGACTATTATATACTTTTCCATTTACTTATCTCATATGACATAATGAAAGAATTTGTCAATATTTTAAGCTTATCATACATGATTGTTGTATGAAAAAATTCGTAATCTTATTGTCAATAAGAATAATATTTTGAACAGATGTTTTTTTTTTAGATAATATTCCTTTTTTACCAATTCTATTAATACGTTGTTAAATTTCTAGCATGATTTTCTCGCTAGAATAAACTCAAATAATATACCTGGAAGAAATTGTCTTGGCATAATGCCATTTTACATGAGAGAAAAAGTCCTTGATAATTACGTAATATTTGTTCCTAACTCATATTACTTTGAATGCTGTAGTTTAACCGTTTAGTTTTATGATAATAGAAGAGTATTTATAAACTATTCCGAACAAATTTTATGATTTTTATATATAAGAAATTTCTGTGGTTTTCATAATCAACAGTTGTAAATATTTTTTTAAATCAACTTTAAAAAAAATCATACATCTTTTCTATGTATGATTTGAATTATGCGATACAATATATCACAATTGTAAGTATCATATTTATTTTTCACGATAGGAAATTGTCAAGTGCTGATGAATTAGTGAGATTTGTTTTTTTATGCGTTAAAATCACGTATGTCAAGATTTATGATGTGTAAGAAAATGACATCTCGATACAATCCTTCTGTTAATTGTGTAATGCTAGTTTTTCTGCATTTTTAGTTTAATTATTGCTCAGTTTTTTTTCTTTCCTTCCATTACCTTAAGTAAAAGAAGAACATATGTCTAGTATTTTTTGTGGCACTCGGATATTTGTCAATGGTTTATGACTTGTAAAATATTTCACCTGTAAAGCATTTATATATATACATATGTGCAAGCATAAAACGATGATATTTTTCATGTAAAAGAAAAAAAAGACTATAGAACGAGAAAAAAAAAGTATTACGAGAGAAAAGGAAAGGAAAAGAAAAAAAGTAGAGAATCGGACAATTGTTTGATTGTTAATATTAGGTTAAAAGCTATGACGTCTATCTCAAAGTTAGCTTAAATTTTCTCATTTTTTTTTCTTTTTTTTTTCTTCTATATAATATCATTAAAGAATTAAATTCGCTTAATTATAATTTAGAAATAAAATATAATGTCACGTCCACCAGCAACAGCAACACCACCCATACAACAACCTGTTGCTCAATTAGAAAGTTTTCTTCGTACTGATATAATATGTGTTACATTAAAATTTGGTTTTCAACAAAAATTATTTAAATATCCAGTTAATGATACATCAAGTTCAATTATTGAAAAAATCTATCGTGATGCCGAAGCTTGGCTACGATCAATTTTAACAAATACAAAAAATTTACAAATGGTTGATCGTTATACACTTTATTTATTTCGAATTCCAACAACAGATTTAACAATGGTACCAATTGCTCAAATATCTGATATTGAACAAAATTCCTTAATTGAATTAGTTGTTGTACCTGTTGAAATCAATCAAAATCCACATGGTTTATATCGATGTCAATTAAATGTACCAACAAATTGTTCAAAATGTTCACGACTTATTACTGGATTTTATCGACAAGGTTTTCGATGTCGAAAATGTCGTATGACATATCATAAAGATTGTGCACCATTTTTACTTGATGATTGTTCAATAATTACTGATCCTCCATCACCCACACGAAAATCTCAAGTTTCTTTTGTTAATCCCTTTGTCCCAGCACCAATTTCATCAGCAAATTCAACATTAGGTGCAGATGATACAACCATACCTATTTATAGTCCATCAACAAATACTTCAAAAGAAAATGAACAATCCGTAGTCGCTACAACTATTATTGATGAAGGTATTTTTCCGGCATGTATTGGTGGTAGTAATATCTATCAACGATATTTATTTCGTTTAACACGAATGACATTGACATTAACAACAAATTTATCAAATTTAACTACTGCACAATTACAAACACGTCAATCAACTGATGTAAATACAGTTTTTCCATTAGCTGAAATCAATGATTTAATTTTAACACATTTTATGGATGATCGTGATCATGTATTTGAAATACAATTTCAAGGAAAATTTATTTTATGTGTAGGAAAAAAAAGTGATTCGGATGATTTACAAATGCAAACAGCACAATTTTATTCATCAATTCGAGATCAATGGGAAGCCTTAGCTAACAATGGATCATCACAAGCACAAACACCAGCTGGAACTGCTAATGCACCAACATCGTCAACATCAACAACTAATACAAAACAAGCGAATGATTTAAAACGAAGAAGAAGTATTTATCGACGTCCACCACAAGGAAGAGACAATGAAGATAAAGATTTACATGAGCTTTATGTATTTACTGGTGAAAAGATTGGAGAAGGTTTAAACTAATTTATGCATTTTGTTTTGTTTTAAATTTATGTCTGAAATTTAGGTCAATTCGGACGAGTAGTAGGTGCTATTCGTAAATCAACAAATCGTAAAGTTGCTATAAAATGTATTGAAAAAGCAAATTGTAGTGAAGAAGATATTCGACGAACAAATGAAGAAATCGATCATCTTTATAAATTTAATCATGTAAATTTTACTTTTTTTTCATAAACAAATATTTATTTCAAATATATCTAGGTTAATATTCTTAAACTTGAAGCTTATTTTGAACGTGGAGATGCTGTTTATATCATAACAGAACGTATGGAAACTGATATGTGTAAATATATAATGGAATCACCAAATAAATGGCTTGATGAAAATATGAGTAAAATGCTTATCTATCAAGTTATTATTGCATTAAGATATTTACATTCAAATAATTGTGGTCATCTTGATGTTAAATGTGAAAATATTCTTATATCATTTCTTAAACCAATATTAACAAATAAAGATAATACGAAACCACAACCATCTTTAAAGTATAAAACTGATTTACCATTAGTAAAATTAGCTGATTTTGGTTATTCAAGAATTATTGGTGAACATTCATTTCGTAAAACACGTGTTGGAACAGTATGTAGAAAAAACAATAAACTATCATTGACATATTCGTTTTGTTTTTATTTCATATTTTTAGAAAGTATATTGTGCACCTGAAATTTATCGAAGTAAAGAAGGTTATAATCGTTTAGTAGATATGTGGAGTGTTGGTATTGTTCTTTATGCTGCTCTATCAGGTACATTACCTTATGATGAAAAAGATGTTCCACGTGCTGAAGAAATCGTACGTAATAAAAAATTAATGTATTCACATGCACGATGGAGAGATATAACAGATGAAGCAATTGATCTTATATCAAATAAACTATTAGTTGTTCAACCACATACACGTATTAGATCAACTGTAAGTTTATATAAATAGAAATTTTTTGTTGACAAAAAGAAGATCTATGTTTTTATCTAGGAAGCACTTTTTCATGCATGGTTTACAGATTTTCATTTATATAAAAGTTTACGTGAAATTGAAAAACGAATAGAACATGATTTTGCAGCAAAACAACAACAACCGCCATCATCATCCAATTGGCTTACTGGAGAACGTGAAGATCATGTATGGGTAGAATTTAAATCTATGTATGAAAAAACAATTGAATCATAAAAACAATAACGAAAAAAATTCATTATATGTTAATGAATTTAAAATAAATAATTATTGTTGTAATATGTATTTTGCCTTATTTGATTTTTGCTTTCTGTTGATTGTATGTGTAAAAAAATCAAGAATTAATTTTAATTTTATGTATTGTTGTTAAGCTTATTAGAATGCTTGATTAAAAATTCGATTCACGTACGATAAAATAATTCTATATACATAGAGTCTGATGATATCTTATAACAATTTGGTACACTTTTTTCCAAGTACCTTTCGGAGTGGGTGTTCTCTTTAGATCAATAAGGGACACCCTTCAATAGGTGCAAGATTTTAGCGCCAACCCACAATATACAAACGAAACAGATTTAAAGAATTAAAGCTTTCGTTTTCTCCATAAAAATTGCTCTGACGGATATATACGTCATTAACAGGCAAGTGGTAAATCGCTATATTACATTTGAAGAAAAATTCAATAAAAGTTCAATTATATCTGTTGTAGAGCTTCTTATTTTTTGTACTTGTGTATAAAAACAAAGAATTCAAAAGATTGAAGACATAAAATGTATGTACTGTTTGCTCTCGTTTAAAAAAGACATTATTGCCTATTAAATTAGTTATAGTATATACGGATGAATTGATTTTACTTATATAAGTATAGTTAATTTTAATAATACTAATTGTCGACATAAGATCGTTCATTTCATAATCAGCCTTATTATCAAGGTATCAAATTTTCAGTTTATTTTCAAATAGTAAGTGACATGAAGATGATGTAAAAGAGAACCTGTTGAGTTATACTGGGTTAAGATGAATTCATTTAGTTTCTATTACGGAGAAAAATGTAGGTCTTCTTCTAAGTGAAAAAAAGAAAATTTGGAAGTACAAGTGCAGATAATGTGAAATATGAGTAAAGTATCGATGAAATTCATACTTCTGAAGTATTACTTTTATACTCTTATCTTCTAGTGGTAATTACATTTTAAAGGAATATTTTTCACTAATTGTGAAAATATTTACATATCAATGATTAATTCAACTCTTACAAAAAAGAATCTGCATTGAATTCATACAGTTTTGATGGAAGCCCTTTTTCTAAAATTATATAAGTAGATGAGTCATAAAGTATTCATTTATTCGTATAATAAATCCATTAAAAAAAATGATTATAAATAAATAGAATTCATAGCTGAATTACACCATATTCTTATTCTATAGATAGTAATTTAATACGTTATTTATTAAGATATTTTTGATTTTGTTGTCTTTGACGATGGTTAGATCTATATGTGTAAGAGAAAATCTGAACAATTTGTTTAACATATTCAAATACTTCATATTGTTACAAGCATATTATTTATAGTGACAGCTAATCATAGATCATTTTGTGACAGATGTTTCTCTTTGATTTCTAATGTTTTATGATAATATGACAAGACATTTGGATAATTTGGCATTGATCAATAAGCTTCGTCCATATGATTATATGTGGCAGCAAAATCTCATTAAATCAATGATGATAGTTTGTGTGGAATTTCAATTATTTTCTCAATATATATAAGTGCTTATTGATGTTACCCGACTCAATCATATGCACTACCCAATATTGCTTTGCATAGTTGTCAATAATGGATGATGTGACAAAAAAAAATTTTTCTTGAATTCCAGACATATTTGTCTTATGAAATCATTCATTACACCAATATTGTTATAAATTTATCTTAATCCTAATTTTTATCATATCCACCCATTTTTAGCTACTAAATAGTAATTAGTTTTGCCTAACGAAGCATATAGAATTGAACAAATTAACAAATAAAATTGTATCGATATTTTGTGTTATTAAGCTATGTAATTGGAATCGATTTGAATCAACAATAATCATAAATACATATTCATTAGTAATAGGTCTGAAAAAATTACTACAGGGGGTAATAAAATTATAGGGTCTCGTCTATATCATAGTCAAAAAAATGTATACTATACTTTAAAAAGAAATTTCTTTTCAAGATATGGCATTGATTTTTTTGGCTATGACATAGGGGGTCCTATAATTTTATTACCCCCTGTAGATTTATCGATTTTCATAGGTATTTTTATTGAATTGATGACATGTAGAGTACTATTGAATAAAGTTTTTATATATTTAAATCCAACCAAATAATAATATAACACTCGATAATAATACTACGTTGTATCTATCAACAATGTTTTGACGTTAGCATAATATGTCATTGTATTACCACGGATAAGACTAGCGTATTAGTGTTGTTTGATGATATTCTATCTATATATAAAAAATACATTTACGGTTAAAACAATAAATGTGTCTGGTTTTTTACTTATGTATTGTCTACATCTCTTCGATAACTTCGAGGATAAAATTGATCACATTGCGTTTTAGTCTATACATATATAAGAAAAAAACCGTCGAAATTTTTTACCTAGAAAATCTGATGAGACATTTTTTTTTATCATGAAAAAACATTTGAGAAGGACGAATACGATCAGATTTTTTTCTGTCTGATTGCGTAGGTAGTACATATCAAGATAAAATAAACATGACATTTATATTAACTTGATCTATTAGTTGTCAAAAGATAATTAAGTCTATCAAGAATTGGTATGTATTATATCCACCTTGGACTTTTACTACAAATTTAATTATAATTATTACTCAATCAATGATAATATATCAATGAGAAATAAAGAAACTGCCAAAAATATTAAATGATGACGGAAATAGAGTTATGATGTATTGTGAACAAAAGATGGAACCGGAAATAAAGAAGGATGAAATTGATTTCTTTCATGTACATCAATTTGAATGTCGAAATATACATTACTAAACCTATTGATTACAATGAGTTAATCTAATAATTCAACCCAGAAATACAAAGAAACGGTCCAGTAATAATATGACATTTGAAAAGACTACACACTCTTTTGTCTCTGACACAAGCAAGATTAGTTCATATTATAGTACTAGTCGTATCAGATTTGATTCATTTATTCTTCAGCTATATATATGATCATATTTCAATGCTCATTTTCATGTGGATCTGTATCTAATTTCTCTAGTATTAACATAACCAATGAATAAATATAATTCAACCTTGTTTCTATTCGCTATTAATTATGTATATATAAGACCTTGCACACAAAAGAATAATTAAAGACTTCTATATCATAAATCTTCTTCTTTTTTTTAATAATAATCTCTCGACTTCATTGTTCATATATATATACTTCGGAAAAAAGAAAACAACAATCAAACCCAAAAAGAAAAACTCTCTCTCTCTCTTACATGTCTTCCATGTTAAATACACATATCAACACACTGAAGAAGAAAAAAAAAGAAACATCCTGTACAAAAGATGACACACATACTAACAAGCACAAGTTGGAAAGAAGAAAAGAAAAAGTCTCAAAAAGAATAAAATATGTATCATACAAAAAAAAAATCTCCTATGAAACAAATTTTTTATCATATTGTCGGTAAACCTTCATGTTCAATACAAATTATTTTTCGAAAAACTGTTCGAATTATGATTGATCTTGAACACGTATCAAGTCGATTGAAATAGACAAAAAATAAAATAAATAATATTAAAAGACCAAGCAAAAGAGAACGAAACCATGTTTGTTTTAAACGATTCCAATAGGAATTTATTCTTGGAATATTTGATGATTTAACAACTTCATCATTAACAATTTTTGATTTTGTTGAATGTAAACGTTGAACAAGTGTTGATTGAGATGTTTCATCAAGAATAGAAGTTGTTGAAGCTGGTGGAAATAATAATTTTGAATGATCATTTAATGTTCGCTGAGTAAATATCGTTGATGATGAAGAAGATGGTGGAGGAGATGTTCGATCATATTCAATTCCACTATCAAATTGTTGTACTTTATTTCTTTGATTTGCTGTTTTACTTAAATTCACCGGTTTATTTTGTGATTCATCATCATCAGATGAATCATGTAGTTTATAGTAACTATTTGTTGATCGTTGAGTATTGATTTTTGACTGTGGTATTTGATGATGATATTCTGTATTCATCGTGGATAATGGAGTTTGATGATATTCTTTATTAAGTGTTGGTTGCGAAGTTTGATGATATTGTTGATATTCTTTATTTAGTTTTGATTGGGAATTTTGATGATATTCTTTACTAATTGTTGGTTGCGGAGTTTGATGATATTCTTTATTTATTGTTTCATGATATTGTTTACTGATTGTTGGTTGTGAAGTTTGATGATATTCTTTATTTATTGTTGATCGTGGATTTTGATGATATTCTTTGTTTATTGTTTCATGATATTCTTTATTTGCTGCTGATTGTGAATTTTGCTGCTGATGATGATGATATTCTGTATTTGTTGTTGTGGTTGTATCGTTTGTACGTTCATAAAAGACAGGTTTAGTTACTTCAACAACTGTTTCAATATATAGAACTTTGCAATCATCGGATATATAGGATGATGTTGAACTTTGTTTATTTGAATTTGTTTCATTATGAAAATTTCCTTTGAAGAATAAAATAGAAATAAAATAGAATTAGTTTAAATTTAACATACGATTAATATCATTTAATGTTGTTCGTCGATGTTTTTTCTGACGAATATTTTGATTAAATTCCTGAGGAGTTGATGTATGAAATATAGATGAATTATTATTATTAAAATTAATAGAACCATCAAATGAAACATGTTTTGATTGACTTTTTCGAAAAAAATCATTTAACATTTTTTTATATAAATCTAATTTACATTCACAATGACTTTTAATTTTTAAATGTAAATTATTTATCGGATTATTTATAGAACGATTTATATTATTCAATATTTGTTCGTATGTATCGATTAATCTTTGAATATCTTGAAGTTCGACCTAGAATGATGAATGGCAAGAAAAAGAAATTAATTAGCACGCGTGTTTCAATTTTAAAATCATTTATCATTACTTGATAATTGTTATTGTATTCATAAGTAGTTAACTTTTGTTCGATCTGTGTTTCAATCGGTATAAGATTGTCGATCATTTTCGATAATGTACGTAATTGAGTTTGATAGGTGTCCATTCTATGTATGGGCGGAGTATAAAGAACATGTAAAGTAAATACAAAAAGAAAAAAAAAACGCGAACTTACTTATCAGTAAGTTGTTCAAGGGCTAGACGACAACTATGTAAATGTTCATCAATATTCGATGATGATGGACCATCAAAATGTGACATTCGATATTCGTTAAGATGCTCTTCAGCTAAAAGAATATCCGAACGATAGGAAGCTAATTTCTATAGAAGAGAAGAAAGAAAAAAATAAATAAATCATTAAGTAATAATTGAAATTACCTGTCGAGAATCTTTTTCTGAATCAATTTCGTAATTAATTCGTCGCATTATTTCAATTAAAGAATTTTCATCTAACCAAGGATGATTATGATTACAAATATAATTAATATGAGATAATTCTTCGTCTAAACGTAATTTCAATTTAATAATTTCTTGTGAGATATATAATAGTTGACGTGCATGTCTTCGATCATCATTAACTTGTTGTCGCATGTCATGCCAACCAGATAGATATGCTAAAAAATAAGATTAACAATGAAAGGTTAAAATGCACAACACGAGATATTACGCATCTGGTATACATATTATCTACTACTATTATTATTGTATTTCTTACCAAACTTTCCAATAGACTGAAAGATGAATATCTCATGATCATTTATCTAATATCTGTATATATATATATATGAGTATAAACAATGAAAGATCAATCTATATAGGATACATAACAGGTAACTTCTCGAGGGCGTAAAATAAGATTTATATGTATATATGTGTGTATGTATATCATATATAAACAAGAAAAAAAAAAGGATTAACTTAAATAAGATATCGAGAAAAAGAAAGGGGTGAAAACTTGCTCTTTTTCACCTGTATTGATGATGAGTAAAGAATTAGTATTCAATGTATTTCTCAAGATCAACAATTAAATCGGCTTAACATTTGTCTTTTCATTCTCTACATAGCAGTAAATTGACCTTCTTTCTTCCGTGATGTAATATAACAAGAAACTTACATGGTTGTTGTCGAGTTATAGCGTTGAAACTGACGCGGAATAACGTGCGTGGACAAAACACGATTATGAATGGAAAAAAACGGTTTTTTTCCTCCCTATTCTTTCTCTCTCTTTCGTATTCCGTTAGAAGCAATAAGGATGTGGTGATGTTTTTGTTATTATTCTTTTCTTTCATCGAAGGACACAATACTTACTACATCGAACACGAACGAACGATACAAAAAAAAATATAGAGAAAGACAAGAACAGAATGCAACGAGAACGAAAGAGAAGAGATCGCGAGCTTACACATGTGCCTATTCACTAAAGGGGATGACATTGCACAATGTCTTTATTGATTGGAAAATAACAAACATCATCGTAAAAATCTATAGATTTTGAGTAATTACTATCATTTTTAAGTAATAAGCAAAGGTTTGTCGTCTCAAGGTAAATTCTAATGGTACCAGAAATGTGAAAATTTTATTATGATCAGTTTTTGAACATAATCATAGATGTGTCATACCTACTGTCTTTGGAGTATATTTATATATGTATGCATGCACTCTATTGTAGTTGAGTACATTTATATATATATATTGTTTTAATTTTCAACGATCGAGATGAACAATTATTATTTTACTTTCTTTTTAGTCGTCTACCGTCAAGTGGAGACAGAATTAAACATTGTCTATGCGTAATAGGAGCTGCTGCTGCTCATAATTGCGCCAGTAGTCATTAAAGGGAACAATAAAGAAAAGAAATTGAGAAACAATGAACGAAAGAGAGACGCTAAATAAACACACGTGTATATATATATATATATGTATATATTGAACGGTATAGCAGAAAGGAAAAGAAAAGGTGACGTCTATCTAACGATAATGGACCAAGATCTATAATTTATGTTTGATATACGTGTGGGAAAGTGAATTAGATCGAACATAGACATTTAGGACAATTTAAAATGTGGAACCCATCTATTATATATGTTCAATTGTCTACTCTATTTACTTTGTAATTGTTCAATTGCTTTTGTACTGTTAAGACGTGAATTCTTTGATCGATGAAGATTTTTTAAAATTTGCTGTAAACATTGAATATTTGTTTCACACGTTCTTAGCACTTCATCCTGTCAAAAAAAAGAGAAAAACAAAATCAAAAAAAAATATGCGAAAATATAAGTTGTCAACGAATAATTTACATATTTTCGTAGATTACGATCATTTGCAGTCAATGGTTGTTGACGTTTTTTCTTTTCTAAACTTTGTCGTGCTTTATGTAACTGTCGTTCCGTTTCGTTTAAAACGTAATTAAAATCATCTAAGTCCGAATCTGAATCTAATAAATCTTTATTTCCAACTAAATCAGTAACACCACTTGTCAACGATGATGATAAACCATTGATATTCTAAAGATAAAAAACAAAAATGCAATAGATCATTTTTTATGATTGTGTCATCAGTTTGTTCAAATGTAGAGATTCATCCTCAAGAGGGCGTGAATCATACAAATGTACACTCTAATTAACCATTGTCATACAAACATTTTGCGGATCAAGTATAAAGACAACAAAGGTAGTAATCGATTTACAAAGAAAGATTTACTATGGTATGTTGAAAAAAGAAATACTCGAAATAATTATTTCTACATGATCAACTAAGGCAACAAATACTCAATTAATATGCATTTCAACGTCAAAAAACAATATTTTATATTCACATAAAAAAAAGAAACGTTGATCGATAAAGAAAAGAAACCGGTATATATTTAAGTAGTATAACTCCAATGAAGCGTAGAATGGTTTGGTATAGCTAATTGAGCATTTCTCACCTTTTCTTACTATTAGATATCTACCTGATTATTTTCTTCCGTTGTATTATCTATTATTTTCTTTTGTAAAGTCAGATAAGCAAGTTTGATAGTCCAATGATCAATGTTAACAAACCACATCAGTACACATTGGAAAGACAACTAACTTCAGTCAAACAAGATGGAGACGGAGAAAAAAAAAGGTAGAAGAAAGAAAAAAAAGAGGAAAAAGAAAAAAAAAGGGCATCTCCCTATTTTTTTTTCGCTATTCTATTCTCTCATATGCTTTATCTCTAGTGTCTATCGGCGTTGACGGCACGAGCAAAGACTGAAATTTTTCTGCATATGTGAGCGCAAAAAAAAAGGCACAGTACAGGATAAGAAAAAAAAAAGAAAAGCGAAGCAAAAAAAAAATATAGCACGTTCAGCTATGTGTAGTCTTAGGTTGTGGCTTCCTTTTTTTTCCCTACAGATGATATAGTATTAATCTATTTTCTTCTGGTATATCTTTATCAGAAGAAAAGAAAAATGTGTCTGACGACTGTTGTGCATGTCGGATACAAATGATGAGCAACAAATAAAATAAAGAGAAAGTGAACGTTTGACCTTTAGCTATGATCATTCATTCTATTATAAAAAGTAGTCAGATATGAATATGAATAAGTTAAATATATTTATGTCCTTGAAATGATATCAGAAGAAAAAGTAATTTTACGTTTCATTACCACTTGTCATTGCAGGGGGGAGGTAAAAGATTAAAGCGGCCTCTTATTGTTATTGGCTTTTGATGATTGAGAAGACAAAAAAAGAGCCACAAAATCTTAACTGATCCGCATGATACATAAGTAGCAATATGTGTTGTCGGTGGGCTATTATTATTGTTTGGAGTATCGTTTAATAGTATTGATAAGTGATCTGCTTATTTATGTGTTTTCATGTCTTAGCATTTGTCTTTTCAATTTTCATATTTTCTATCAAATGTGTGAAAATATTGTCAGTCTTTTCTTGTGATTAGAATGAAAAAAATAAGCTTTTGTAGGTAATAAAATATCAACCCTGAAAAGCGCTATCATCAAGAGAATCGTCCTTGATTATATTGCGACATATATCGAATTATATTGAAAAGAATCAAAAGTTTTGGAAAGAGAGAAAAAAAGAACTATTCATGCGCTGTTATATGAAGGACTTATGACTAAGATGTTTTAATGATGATTTTACATTTATATATATATATAAAATTCGCTTAAGGGAAAAAAAACTTCCTATGAAAAGCTTTCTTTTTATTCATAGATAATAAGTCTATATACGCTATTGGCTCTACAGTAGCCAAAACAAAAATTGATCGTTGATATGTTTATATAGTCATTATTGTTATTGTATACATCTCAAGAGACTATAGGTTGATAAATCCTTTTAAACATATTGATATCAATTTAACAATAAAATAGTTTATTTATCTATGAAATAAAAGTTATTTGACTACGATCGATTTACTTTTTTTTGTTAAATAAACCTAATAAAATCGATATTGTCAAATAGATTACTTATTACATTTAAAAGGCTTCAGATACCAATGTAAACGAGAGTAAACAAACGAAAACTATTTCAGTATTAAATAAAATTTTCTTACCCGCATAAAATGATCAATATTATATTCATATGAATAATTTTCATTGTCCGATGATGAACTATTTGGTTGATCCATTTCTAAAAATTGATCTTCCCATTTCAGTGTTGTTTCAATTGAATCCATATCTTGAGAATTAAGAGAATAGAAAAGAGGATTCTAAATTAAATTAAAAAATTATAATAATTTTAAAAATATTTTTCTGTTAGTATTATTTATTTACTTGATAACCATCCCAACATGGTTCCGAACCTTCAATTTTCTCATTCATAATTATTGTACTAAGTGAATCAAATGCTAAGAAAATCATTTCTTTTAGGTTTTTTTTTTCTTCGAAAGACAATATAAAATAATTCTTACCGTCTGATGTTGGTAATGCCATTGTATCGAACTTCATTTGAGATACTTCATCTATTCAGAAGAAAGAAGAAAAAAATTCAATGATATAATCAACAGTTGTACGTTTCTCTAATGTTATAAATGCTTCTATACTCATTTCCTCCTTTCGCTATTTTGAAAAAGTCAATATATAATTGAATTGAACTTATTCTAAGACAAAACAATCATTACCTAAATTTGAAAACATTTGTTGATCTTCCGTTTCTGATGGTAATGTTGTTGTTGTTTCTAATTCAACATCCGATGAATATCCTGTAGTTGTTGTTGTATATCGATTATAGAATTGTAATTCAGAATTTTGATAATGATGAATAGGTGATGTTGAATTAAAATCAGATGATAATAGATCAACATCATTTTCTGATTGTTCAGGATCTGTATATTCCGCACTTGCATCATAAGAGTTTGATGGGGGATTTGATGGTGTTTTATTTTGTATTAATGGCGGTGATAATGGTTGTTGTGATGATTTAAATTGTTTATATTTCGTATATTTTTTACTATACATTAGTAATGATGGTTTATTTTGTGTTTTCTTTGTTTCTTCAATACTTAAATCAATATCCGGATTTGAACATGTATCATATGCGGATGTTATTGAATGTCTCCACCATGTTGGCAGATGATGATTATCTTCTAATAATGGTAATGAATGTGTTAATGATGAAAAACTTGTTTTATTATTTGTATGTAATTTTTGTCCTATATAATAATCACTTTGACTTGTTTTTATATGAAATATTGGTAGAAGATTTTCATTAGATTGATTTGTTTCATCTTCACTTTCATATCCAACATCTAATTTCGATAATGTTTTTTTTTGTTTTTTATTTGTATTTATTTGATCATCAGCAACAACAGCAATATCATCATTTATATTTGTTAATGAATAATAAAATGTTGATGGAGATTTTATTGGTAAAAGATTTAATGACATACGTCGTTTTGATCTTGTTATTTTTCTTCTTTTCATATAAATTGATTTTAATTGAATATTATTATTGTTTAAAGTACGAATTAATGGTGAACGTGAACGTTTACGTGTTCTTATTGAACAATATAAACTATCTGTACTTGTTGTTGGTGTAGTTAATGGAATTTTTTCGTATTCACTTGAATTAAAAGGAATAATATCGTCTTCTTCTTCAGCTTTTTCTTTTTCGTCAATTAATACAATTGGTGTTGGATTCTAAAATAAAAGTATAAATGAATTCATTTGATCAGTCAACCCGAATCAGCATCATCATCATCTTTTTCCTCTCTTTTCATTCTTTCATCTTCAAGATAATCGGCATTCAATTTCCGAATAAAATCAACGATTGCCTGACTCGAGGTCACAAAATATTTTTTTTTACCTGTGTGTTAATATATTTTACTGATGTTCTTGTTACTACCGACTATCTTTCTCTCAGAGGACATACAACGTTCAATTAAGAAAGAACTATATGTATATAGAGGAGGAAATTTGAGATTATGATGATGATGATGATGATGTAATGGATGTCTCTATTTCTTTTTTCTTGTCCATTTGACAGAATATATATCGCAGCCTTCGTTCCACTCCTGGGCACTATCATCACTCACTCATTCACTCATCCATTCATTTGTTCATCAATGAATAAGCAATAGCGTCCAAGTGTAAATCCGTTGACTACTAGTACTACTATATTGTACTCATAAATCAGAGAAATAAAGAAGACAAGATTGTAATGTGTAAATTTGAGAGAAGAGAAGAGAAGCAAAAAGGGCTCGATACATCATAAATTACGTTATTAACGGAGAACATACTTGAATAGAACGAGTTCCATGGACAAAATGAATAATACGTCTTGTCTAGCTGCCGATTATTCGACAAGTCTATCTATTTATATTCCACTAGTTGATATAAATCATTGTCAGTGACCGTGGCGTTCTATTTAGTATAGTACAAAAGAAGAGAAGAGAAGAGAGGAGAATAATTCAAATTACTTTTCGCCTTCTTTCTCTCTCTCTCCCCCTATTCCTCGCTCTATCCGTTCTATGTATTTAACTCCGCTTGGCTGTATGTATCTAGTTCCTGTCCCTATCTGTATTGCAGCTTTGACGCGACTTCAATTTTCTTCATTTTTTTTTATTCTCTTCGCCACACCAATTCTTTTGTTATTCTTCGATAGACAGAATCTTACTTATACACACACACACATACATCTAGCTAGCACAAGATTAAAAAAAATGAACGTTGTCTTGTGATGATGACACGCGCATAAAGGGATCAGCAAACATATATATATACATTCAAGAAAGAAAGTTGAGAAGACCAGATGACTGATTGTATACCGATGTCCAAGCACATTATCTTTGCTCTGTTTATCTAAGTAAACTAAAAGAATTACTTGTAGAGAGAGAATAGACACCCGAAGGGTATTGAGAGAAATAAACATAATTTTACCTACTGAAAGCGAACATTGTGTCTTCAACAGTTTATGTCAACTGTGAACGAATTGACGACTAGCATATGTTAAAAGACAAATAACAAGCTGACATACACGTATATATGTTAGATGAATACATTTACTTTTTCTTTCAATATATCGGTCAATCATTACTCACGGGCAACAGATCGATTTCTTTAAAGAAGTGAAGAAGAACAGAAAAAGAAAATAGAATGTCTTATTTGACAGATACTTTCGTGCTATTTTCATATATAAGATAACGACCAGAAGGTTTATCATATATTATTAGTAACTCGTTCTATCGTGTTGTATAGTAATAATCAATAATTTATATGAATAGGGACAATTTTGCCGTTAGTCGTTCTCACTCTCTTTTTATTTGAAGTATGTCACCCAACAATATACATTCAAATGTATGTTTAATTTCATTCATATATACTCCTACTATTATTCTACCCTTTTAGTTTTTATTAGTAAACGATAGATAGAAAAATGATCAATAAAAAAAAAACTTACTTTCAACTAGTATGATTGATACAAACATGCAATTGTTAAAAAATCGACAATCAATGTAACTGAAAAATGCATTGCAGTTTTTTTCTCTTCTTCTTCTATTTTTTCCCTTTACTCGATCAACCATCGGTCGAAATTGTTAGACAATGAATAAAAAAAAAGAAAGGCAGATCGACTAAGGAACAGAGAAATGAAGAGAGAAGAAGAAAAATGTACGCTTACGTTTACTCTCTTAGCTCTTCAAGTACGACAATACGCATATGAGCTGCACCTTGTCAATGAGTAGAAAAAAGAAAATTAAACATCTACACGCATAGACACACACACTCTTATACATATACATATAGGTCACTCTTCAAATAATCTAAGTTTGCTCTATAATAAGACATGGCTTGGTAATTAAGCAACGAAGAGAATAAAAAAAAAAAGATAATGCCATTAGGCGACACAATGATATAGTATTGGGTCACTTATGAACCATACGTAAGCAGACGTGCATGACATTTTAGTTATGATGACATGCTGCATACATAACACCCTGACAGAATATGTATAAAAGAAGTAACTGGCATAAATGTGTCTGTACAATCTTTTTTTTTATATATTTGCTTAAATATATATATATCTTTAATCAATACAATATTACCATTTTTTGAAGGTAAAGTACACACATATTATAATAAAAAAAATCGAGCGCAGTTATAGTAACCACTAGACTTGAAGAAAGAAAAAACTTACTCTTAAAATTTTTAATCGGTCTTCAAGTTTACATTGAATTTCTACAGAATTAATCCACGTCTGATGCCAACGGTTTTCTAAGTCACTTGCTAAATCAAATGGTACTTTATCAACTTTTTGTTCATAATCATGTTTTAAACGATCACAAATTTCAATAATGGATGAAACACGACTATTTCTTGACTTAATTTCATCTTGTAATTTCTAAGTGAAAAAAAAACAACAATTTTTTTTTAATTTAAATATTGACCTATTACGAGAAACAAAACTCAGTTTTAACACCTATTAAAAATGTCTTACCGTGTGTAGATGAAGATTAGATTGAAGATCTTCTAATGAAATGTCATCACTTCGAAATGATTCAAAAGTCCATAATTGTTCTTCTGTATCACTAAGCCATTCTTCAAATAAGAGTAATTCATTATGTAAATCTAAAGGATAAAGATAATAATCGTTTATTGAATGATAGTCTATAGAGAAAGAAAAATAGAAACCTTGAAGTATACGATCAAAATCTTCATCTAGATAATCAATAAACCGTGATTCAAGGAAGCTCCATTGCCGATTTATTTTAATCATCTTATCACTAATATTAAATCTTAAATCAGGAAAACGTTCTGTTAATTTATCAGCATATTGACTAAATACACGTAAACGCATTAAACCTTGTTCATATAATTCTTCATAATATTTCTTAAAAAGAAAACGTTTTTTTTTTCAAAACGAAAAAAATTTTTTTTTAAAATTTACTTGTCGAAGATAACGTGTTAAAGCATTTGTTGAAACTGTTGTTATTGTTTCATAAATTTTTTCACACCAACGAGATAATTCACAATATTGTTTTTCAAATTCATTATACGATACATGATGAACAGAAAGATCATTTAATGATGTAAATGGTTCACCAAGAGAACCCTAAAAAGTTTATTTTAGTTTTTGAATTAATAAAAATAAACAAAGATTTATTCTTACTTTACAACGACAAATTAATTCTTCAGACATAAGAAAATTATAATCATCAACTAATGTACCATTCCAGAATTCTTGTCTTTTATTATTTTCACTACTTCTTGTATTTCTAAAAAATGAAAGCAAATGATTTTTGTTAACTAAACACTACATTTGTATAAACAACAATATTTCTCGTTTTCATAACATGCTTTTTAAAAAATAATAAATAACTCAATCGACATATGGTTTCATCTAAATAGTCATATGCTTTTACTGTCCAATATACAAATGCAAGTAAAAGAAAGAAAAGATCGATTTATTTCTTTACACACATATTATAGAGACAGACTTAAATTGTACTAATGGGGTATGAAAGTAAAAAGAGGTATGATGATGCGCAGATATAAAAGCCGTTAGACGACGACTGTTTTTTTTTCATTTGAAAAAAGGGAAAAAAAACGCCGAGTCATTATATAGCAATGTGGATAATAGGGTAATGACCTTTAAGTTATAAGATTGCTCAGGTGAATGTTTCAAAAAAAAGCAGAGTGAAGCAGTATTACATATATCATTGCATCTTACGCGACTATGACAAATGATAGTATCGGTTCAAAACGAGCTTTTTTTTCTTATGATATAGGAAACCAAATAACATACAATCAACGAATATGTTTGAAATATAAAATATGATTTTTACAGATTATCGCATATCGTTACAGAGTCCTTGGGCAATTCATGCGTATATGTCCTTCCGAGAAAGATAGTTCAGAAAATGATTCATAAAAAAATAGCTCTATAGATGGGAAAACATGTGTTATCTAGAAAATATTATTACATTGTTTATCGAAAGCAAAACTATTTAGCTGGTATTTTTTATTGTTTCATTGACTTGTTAATTAATATTTTCGATATCGAAAAAGAAATATAAAAGACTCGTTATTTTCAAGGTTAAATATTTCATTATATCAATGTATGCATCTATACCAATTTTATATAATTATTATTAGAAAATCATTTTCTGTTTGTTTTAATTACGAAAAAAGATAAAATAGGCGATACGAATATTTGAAGAATCTATATAAATGTGTCGTACTGAAGGTGTATCTTTATAATATACTTGTATTGAAGGTAAAATTTCCTAGGAAAATAGTAGATTTCGAAAACTAAATACATTAGAAAAAATTGATTATTAGTTTTAGAAATATAGAATATAATTAGACATTAATTGTATTAGAATAATCTTTTTATTTCTATTAAAATATAAATTATTAGAAGAAGTCGGAGTTCGTTATTGTTATGTTTTCTCATTTGAATATAAACTAGGTCATCTATTTTGATTTTGTAAGTTAGTAGTAAACCAAAAATTTAAATAAAATAAATTGAGGATTTTATTTGATTGAATATTTTTATCTATGATATACTTATAGAGTAATCATATATGAAAATCTCAAATATGGTCCGATACAATCAGATGAAGAAAAAAAAATAAGTAAAAACAATTTCAAACTGTTTGTTTTTAATTATCCGTCAAACAAAGGGACAAGTTAAGTATGCTCCAGATTTGAAGTTTACGGATGTCTAGATTTTCGCTAAAAACCCTCCAGCTGAAAACTGTAATCATCTATTTTTGATTGCTCTAGTAGATATTCGTAACTGTGCTGAATCAACCGATGATGCTCAAGAAAACAAGCACACAGTTGCAAGCTACAATTTGGAACTCAAACAAAGATATAAATAAAATTTTCGAATAGAAAAATTATTTGTTCTATAACTATCATTGTTTTATTGTAATACAGTTTTGAAATAAATACTTTAAAGTAGAACATTAACTACAAAAAATTCTCTACACATATGTCATTAGAGAGTAAATAGAATGGAAGTATGTTAGCATTAAAATATACTTATACTGATGAAATCTATTTATTAGTATAGTATTAGATTGAATTCATCTTGAAAAATATCTTATTCTCATGTAAAATTTTTAAAAAGATATATTTCTCTTGACAAAAGATTTTAGTTTGATCAACATTTACTTTTGCTGTTCGTACAAAAATCATAAGTTACGCGAACTTATGAACTACATCTTATCCAAATCAATAAAAAAAGAAAAAAGTAAAAAGAAAAACAAATTTCAAAGTACTATGTAATCACTGTACTATTTGTTTAATAGCAAAGTTTTTCTTTTTATATATTCTTTTATAAAGCAAATGATCTTATATAACTACAATAGATTTGATCGCAATTGCAAAGTAATCTACATATGGTACCTATCAAGCTTAAATTTTGATTTGATGTAATCTTACCGTTGATACTTTTAATATTCTATATTAAAGATATGACTTTCATTTGATTTAAAAATGAACTTTTCTATCTGTTATGATGTTCATAACGAAGAAAGAGAGGAGAAGAGATAGTGAAAGAAGAAAAAGCTAGGCAAATGAACGATTTCAATCTTGTCTTTATGCAATATTCATTTGTTTTCATTACACGCTGTGAGGTTGGTGTCAATGTCATTTTTTTTTCTTCTTCATAACGGTACATATAATGGTAGTAGATACGGTCTTCTTATACATTTTTTTTTCTTCAGTTTTATTTGTATACAATTGAAGGACTCATATAGAAAGCGTACCATAAAGAAAATTTGTGAATCAAGAAGTATTAGTTACAGTCTCGCTAAGAATTTTAATGTGGCACATCAGAAGATTAAAAAATAAATAAGTAAAGAAAAAATACATACTTATTCGATTCTGGTATATAGACAGGATATCGTGATGAATTTTTTTCATTCATCTCTTGTTGTATGTATGTATATATAAATATATATATATATATATAGTTAATCAACAGTGTCAAAAATCACCATCGTTCTACTTCATGATCTAGAACAATGAAAAAGAAAAAATTAAAGAATAAAATTTTTGTGTTGATAGAACTGTCAGTCATTCACACTGATGCTGTGTATATATTTATAAGTGAATGCCGGATATGCTGTATACAACACGCATCTCTTTTTTTCCTTGTACAATTAGACTCGTCGTTCTGCGGGTGGTGTACCAATGAGTGAAGAAGAATGGATACAAATCACTCTCAGCAATGAGTAACACAACTATTTTTTTTCTATTCATATTCACAGCTATGATGATGATGATGATGATGATGATGGACGAAGGTCAGGCGTATACATATACTCAACTTGCATTGATGAGATGTTTATATTCATCTCGTCAGAATGCAAATATTTCGTCTATACTTATTTTTACTGTACAGAAGAAAAAGATTGGACTAATCATTATCAGACAAGAAAAGAAAAGAGACTTTGCATTTTTAAACAGTATATAAACATGCACAGACTACAAAAGAGCACACAAAGATCATGATGTCAAGGTCTTCTCTCACTCACTCTCTCTCTTTTCGTTTCTATAACAAAAGCACCCGTTAGAATTAATTAGAAGAAGATTAGTCATTCTAGTCAGTGTGTCTGCTATGTCAATCCGTCAACAATATAGCCGCTAGAAATGATCAATTTTGTACATACGTATATATATGTATAGAAAAAAAGATATTCACACCCTTCCGGCAGACAATGGACTAAAAAGAAAAAATAGTGAAATTACAAGTAAATAGTATTGTTGATGAGATATTTCAAATGCACGGTACATACGCCATCGGCTACTTAACAAGCACAAGGTCAATAAATGTATGTAGAATTAATAGAATATGTAACATGAGAAGTGTTTATTGCTATAGAAACATTGATTTCTTTTTTGTTTGTTCTTATAAAATTTTTACAATTGTATATACTTCTTATCGAACTGTAAAAACTTACTACCTATAAATAAGAAGTAATCTGAAAGATATTATTTTAAAGAGAGAAAAAAGAAAACTCTTAATTTTATCTATTAGAAAAGACTAAAACAAATATATAAATCAGATATATATATATTTGTCCTATCTCATTTTATTTCTTCTACTGTTCAAAAGTAAAATATCTATAGCATGCCTATTAATATATCAATCATTTATCAACTAACATTAAGTTGATTAATAGATAGTTATATACAATATTAAAAATAAAAAAAAAGAAGAACGAAAGTGTGAATAAAAATGTTTAGTATATTCTTCACATACCTATTGTCGAAAGGACAATCATTATCGAAGTGTAAGAGAAATAAAATAGATTTGTCTCATCAATAGCTTGATTTTATCACAATTTATGTTGCTTGTTAAATGAGCAGATGTGATCGTGATGCGAAAACGTCTTAATTCCCTTGACAACAAGTAATCAACTATAGATCGAGAGAAAAGAACAGGCCTTCCAGCTGACCATCGGTCATCGTAGCGGCAGCAATTATCGAATTTCAATAGATTATTTCCGTCTTTACTCTCTCTTTCTCTCTCTCTCTCTTATACACTCAAGGTTGTTCTCTACAGGTGAACTTGACAGAAATACAAGAAAGTGAACGGACATGATTGTTACTAAAGAATGTATAGTTCCCATCTACATATAATTACAGAGAAAAGAAGAGAAATGAATGAATGAATAAAAGAGAATGATCAAGAAAGTTTGTATCAGTGTGTGTGTGTGAACAATTATAATAATAAAAGATCGAAAGAGAGAAGAAAAAAAATAGTAAGATTTTTACTTAAAAATCATTCTTTTAATTGTATAAAACGAAATAGAATCTTGTTAGGATTCAATTCGACCTTAAAGCAGTTCTACACTCGATAGAGTAAGTGGTCAATACAATATTTAAAGAGTGTCCGAAAGTAAATTAAAGAACGACGAGAGACTGATACAATACTATTAATAAGTGGTATGTCAAGCACTTTGTTTTGTTGATGCTTTCGGTTGATCACTCTCTTTTTTCTTTATCGCTCTACATAAATGTATAAACATAAAAATATTTTTTGTCCTAACATACATTGATCACCGTATCAATTATACGAACATGCATATGATTATTGCCATTTGAAATGGTGCAACTGAGACGATAATTGTTGGACAAATAAATGCATATACATACATATATATATATATATATATATATCTGCATTCAAACACTACCAGACAGGATCAGTATTAAACAAAACAAAAAAAAATTTCAATAAGTACATTAGCCATATAAATATATATATTTATATGTGTATACATACTCGCTAACAAAACTGTCAAAGTAGCGTAAAAAAGAAAAGTTAAATCGATAAATCACATAACGCAATCCGTTTTCGATATCATCTTCGTTTGTGTCTCATCATCAATTTAGAAGAAAAGTGATGACACATAATCCTATCGTATCTTACGGTCATGCAAACAAAAACGTGGTACGTAAAAATAACGTATTACCTTGTTCGATAAGCATGCGTTAACTATCAAAAAAAAAATAATAAAACAACATATCATAGTATGTCAAGTGTTTTTTTTTGAAAGAATATATATTAATAGAAAACTGAACTATGCATACATATATATATATATATGTATATGTATATATGTATTACAACATCATTGAGAAGTAAAGAGAGAGAAAAAAAGAAGATGGAAATGTCAGGGTCATAGATAATTTCTTTCTTTTTGTTAGAAAGATAAAACTGAACAAACTGGAATGCTTGTGCGCATACGGAGAGTATTTAAGTAATTACAAAGAGAAAATTATATTTACCAGCTTTATGAAAAGATCAAGTCGCTTTTATATACGCTGACATCATCATCACTAACAAATAAATCATTCAAAAAAAAATGAAAGAACACAAAAAAAAGAGAGAGAGAGTAAGAACTTATTTTTCATTTTCATTCTTTTTCTTTTGTTTATCTCTACTCTATATATACATATATATATAGAAAGATATTATGATGATAATAAAACTTACGAAGATGTAATAACAATAATAGTAATAATATAGAGATGAAAGACTTTTCTGGCATTCTTATGTAAATATCTATTTTATCTTACCTTAACTTGATTCACACATAGTTTGATAAGAACAAAATATGCGGGTAGTAGCGATAGTAATAGTAGTAATTCGATCTATCATAGGATGGACGAGGAAGAAGGAAGGAGAAAAAGAATAGAGAAGGATTTGACTCTCGGACAATGACTCCGATTGTGCGTGTGCGGGCTCATACACACACACACACACACACACACACACGTGTATCAACTATAGAAATCAAAATATTACAAAAGATGATGTAAGGTTGACCATACTTATTATTATAATGTAAAGCATACATTAAATATGGTTGGTTTCCTTCACAGATGCCTGTACAATCTCAACCTCGTATATATTTATATGTGAATGTTTGATGAACAAAATGGAAGATAAAATGTAGCACGTCGCTGCTATCACTACTAACATCTATTTGTTGGTCGATTGATTAACAACGAGAGTACACATATGGGAGAACATTAAAACTAGTCGGCATCAAATCAGTTGAGTTCAAAGCGAGCATCAAGTGGCTCCTTTGAGGCACTTTATTTTTTTCCATTTAGAATTGTTCATTTCCCCATTTACCTGCCTGTTATCATAAGAATAATTAGTAATAAGAGTTCGTTGTTTCAAATGAACAATTTCGAGAATATATTTGAACGGCACACAATTAAAACATTTCGTTGTGGTCTAATCGCCGATACATCGCGCAATTTGAGCGAAGGAGGACAAATGAACAATCAATTTTGAACTATCATCTATCAACAGTGAAAGAATGACAAATTCTTCTTCTTTTTAGTGATCAACATCTAGCTGCGAGACATATGATGATGTGAATGAGTGAATACGAAAGTGTGCACATATATATATATATACGCATTTTTTATGTCTCGCTCATCGTTCTTGATCTTGACCAAACTCTATGACGAGAAAAAAATAGAAGGAAGAAAGAGAGAAAACAATCATTTCAATCGGACATATTTAAGTTGTTATTGACAGTTAATAGATATTCACTTACTACATTTGAAAATGGAAGTATAAGCACTTTTGCACGTTTTTTGTCTTTTAGAACAATGGCTAACTTTTACTATAAAATTTAATTGACCTTCGTCTCACACATAGTGTCAAACACCTTGGCACACAATATAAAAAATAAATGAACTGTTGACCTCGTGAATATGACATCATATTGCGAAGTTTTTTTTTTTTTTTTTCATTGATTTTATTAGACTTCACGTGATGGATCAGTTAGTCTTCGTTATATGTCTGTTGCTGCATGCGCTTATGTTCATTTATTGACTGAACGTGTATGCATATTGCTTCTGTCAAAAGGTTAAAACAGTCTGTCGTTACTTCTCTTATTCCCATCAAACGTTATTATTGACTAAGAGAAAGACAGAAAAAGCCCCGTATATATATAATATCTTTAAACAACACTCAATATAATCTAATCAATAATTGATTTCTATCAGTAACAACAGTCATTGACCTTACAACATCCGTATATAGCTGATTATGTGTCTATGTCTACCATGGTATGCACCGTTGAACTTCTTTATCTATCCTATTAACATTTGTCTCTGTCTATTCTGTTGTCAATCAATCGTATAAAAAAGAAATTGATTCGATATGTATGTTGATATTTATTTATTCATTCATTCTATTGAATAATCTTAACAGATTTTAGCGTCATTAAGTGATTTTTGAGCATAATTTGGCCAATGTTCCATTTCATGAGGACGACCACCTTCATATGTAAGCTCAACAGGTGTACTAAAAGTTGCATTTCGATGAAATGGACTATTTAATGTTTTCATTTGTGTGACACCCTAAAAATAAATATATATAGTTTTTAGTAAAGAATAAATAAAATTGTTATAATAATAATATTTACATGAGATGCATGTCGATGTTCAGTCCAAAATGAAACCGGCATTTCACGCAAAAGGTTATGAGTCTAAATGAAGAAGAAGAAGACCTATGATAGTTAAAAGATTATTGAATTCAAATATTGATACTATTATTTCAATAGTATAGTAACATTATTTACAAAAAAAACGGAAGTGTAATTGAATATTTACTTGTGTAGTTGGTGGTGGTTTTGAGTCGAATTGTTTAGAAAATTCATCACGATATTCACTGTTTGTATCATTTATACGTTGAAATCGTAAGAGTTCATCATCTTCTTTTTTACGTGCATTTAATTCAGCAGCAACTTGACGTGTTAATGAATGTTCAAGAAGTTTTCGTCGTGCACCTTGATCTTTTCGATTGAAAGGTCCAAATGGATCATAACTATCAATATAGGTTGTTAAATTATCAAGTGGAGATCCATAATTTGGTGTCAGTAAAGCAGTATGAGAAGTTTTTTTTATAATAGGTGGTGATGTTGGTTTAGTATCATAATGTTGTTCAATACGATGATCAAGATGTTCAGTTGCTCGTTCTTCAACCCAATTCTCAATTAATACTTGACCATTAGCATTTGGAATACGACGAGATTGTTGTTGGATATTCGACATTGTTTACAGTACTCTGATAAAGTTAAAAAATAAGACGTTTTGTATATTTGACTTGTCAGCATAAACATATTTCAGGTAACATGGTAACCATCCTCTACTCTTTTGATCATGATGTCGTTAATGTGCATGAAGGTTTTTTTTTGAAGGTAAATTCAATTTTATAATATATTGCCAATATACAATCATTTCTAATTTATTTGACTGAAATGAAGGGTAAAATTATTTTTTTATGTTCATATTTTAATCTCCGGAGACTCAATTTTGGACACAATTTAATTTGTCTCATGAGAATATCAATATTCTGTGTCATACAAATTTTAAATTAATTGCTCATTGTAATTTATTTCATTATTCGAAAACATAAATCATATGAATCAGAACTTTTTTGTTCAAAAAAAACAATAAACAAAATATATTATTGATTAAATTAAATATTAATCTAGTAGAGCAAAAAAAATATTTTTACATTATTTAATTAATATAAGTAAAGATGAAGGCACATTCTAATAAACTTTTCTTTTTTATTGAATCTTAAAAATCACGAGAAATTCTTGTTGGGAAAACCTAATATAAAAATAGTCAAAGGCGATGATTGATGTTATCACAAGAGAAAATGCAGCAGACATTTTTATTATTATTATTCTTACTAATGGTGTTAGTATTTGGCTTGAAAACAAGATTATTCATATCTCTATAGATAAATCCGAAGAATACATATGGGGTACATGACCTAATCAATTATTATGGGAATCTATGACAGATGATGACCTTGAATCGGTTTGTATATGTATTATTGATTATAGTAAAATGAGTTATTTTTGTGTCATTGATATATGATCTGTTTTATGTCTTTTCATTATATACAATAACAATAAAATTAGAAATTAAATGATATTTTCACTTTATTTTTTATTGTTAAATATACAATAAAATTTACATGTTGTTTGATATTCGATTAAGTGAAGCCCATGTTGTTAATAATGGTTTTGATGAATTTGTATCTAGTAAGAAAGATGTAAGAGATTAGATTGTCTGAAATAAGATGTAATACTATTATTAATCTCTGTTGGAAGATTTAATGTAAGATTATCTAACCATGTTGTGCAGCTGAATTTTTCGCGACTTAATAGTTGTATCGGATCAGTATTTTCATTGTACTGAAGTGATGAAGTTGAATAGGTTGTTGTTGTTGATGTATTTTGATTTTTATTTTTCGATTTTTTCTATTTAAAAATGTAAAAAAAGGATTTTAGATATTATTGTATGTTTACTTCATTCGTTTGTTTCACAGTTGTATGTTTTGTCTAGTTATTTGAATAGAAATAAATTTTCGAAATATAAAATTAAAATTAAATACTTTTTTTTGCTGTTTTGTTGAAGTTTTTTTTGGTGAATCATTTTTTCGTTTGAGTCTGAAACGGAAACAAATTTATTAATTTCGTTTATTATTTAATCGATAAACTTACGTAGGTGATGATGGTACTGGTCGATGTTTACTTGTATCTGAAGCTATGAAATTAGTTGATAATTACTTCTATTATTATAAATACTTACTTGTTGTATTCGGACTATTTTGTTGAGATCTGAAAATTAATTTAATTTTTTCAAATAATGAAATATTCGTTACTTTGATGATCGAAGTTTTTTAGAACTTTCGGTTGTCTAAAGAAATATTTAAAAATAACGCGGAGTATTAATTACTCCAAACTTTAGTTTTTTGATGATCTTTTGATTTAGTATTTGAAATTGTTTTCGAAGGCGATAATTGCGTTTTAGTAGGTTTACTTGTTGAAGTCTGTGTAGTTTGTGGTTGAACGTTTTTAAATATTTCACTCGTAGTCTTAAGATTTTGATGACCTTCATTTTTTATAGGAATATTCGAAGATATGATTCCTTGCTTTTTTGTTCCATATCCACGAGAACAAATCTCTTAAAGAAAAATATTATGATGAAAAGAATCTTAATTATATTAATCATACGTAATCGACGTTGACGAATAGCTTCTGCTTCCGCCTGACGTTCAGGCTCACTTAGTTTATATAATGTACAGAAAATTAATCGAATTGTTTTACTCGTATCCAATAGAATTGGAAGTGTTTGAACAGCTTTAATCAATGAAGAATTTTTATTATTACAGTCTTTATACTATGGTCTCAACATGTAGATTAGGAAAAATGTGAAAAGTGCTTCGTAAATGTACAATGATTATCAATTTTAGCCTTAGATTACAAATTTGTAATTAGCCGACTTTTCCAGTTATGACATAAAGTTTCCATGATTTTTTATTTTATTTAAGCGCGATTATAAGGATTTTTTCTTATTATGCTTATACACTTGCGGTTCTTTCCTTTTTTTTCTCTATTTATTAGTCATGAGTCATAAACTTGCTTATCCTTTACTCTTCATCTTTGCTATTCAATTATAGGCTTTTCCTGATTCACTTAGTTGTCTATCGCATAGATTTAAGATTCATGTTATTATTCTAAATATAGTCGTTATGTTATTCCAGACAGAAAGGCAACGAGAGACATAAACAAAAACAAATACAAATACTACTAAGATCAACGATAATAAAATGTTTGCATATGAGATGAGATTTGTCATAAAGCAGCTTTTTATATATCTCAAACAAAGATAAGTTTTATGTATATCAGTCTTAAGAAATCCGCATGATCTATTTAATCCTATGACATGTTGTCAAAGCTTAAATTTTCACACTATAAGATTCAATTCACCTAATTAAACAAAGTGTTTCATCATCTACGGGTGAATTTGTACCGCATACAAGCATTCATTTGTAATGTATAGAAAAAATCAAGGGAGATATTTAAAATAATATTATACCTGTTTTAGCATTTTGAAAAAAATCTTTATCTAATATATCACCAAAAAGTATTTGGAAATTTGATTGTAATACAATAAATGCTTTTGTAATATTTTTATACGGATCATTGAATTCAAATTGTTTTATTTTATACTTTTTTAATTGTTCATGTTGTTGTTCACTTAAATGTTGTTGTTTTAAAAGTATTTGAATTAAAACTTTTGTTTTAAATATAAATCGACAAATTTTTATCATTATACCTTGATCTAAATCAATAGACATTTTCGGATATATACGTGAATCGGAACGTAAATGACGATAAACATTTCGTGTTGTTAAACAAAAACGACGTATATATTCTTTTATTCTTTGTAAATCATCTTCTGTATGTAATGATAATTGACAAATAGGTACAATATGTTCTTCTTCAGTTAATTTATTACGTGTTTGAAATAGAAAACGAAGACGATCACTTTGCATACGTCGAATTGTATATTCAATTAGATCATTAGATATATTAGCTGCTTTATGAGACCATATTTGAAAAAATTTCTCACGAGAAACATTTGAACAATGATCATGTGGTACTTCATTTACTATTAATGGCATTACAATAGTTTTTCTTATCAAGAGCGCGATTTTATTAGATATATATATATATATATTCAATTTGACAAAAAAAAACTTTTTTTTGTTAGAATTAAAAAAGAAAAAATTTATTTAAATATCATCTTTTTGTTGAAATGATAGATATATTTCTGTAGGAATTTTTATCGCATATCAAATGGATAGCATTTTCGTGTTGTTCGTTGCAAATGATGATTATGATTTGCATCACGAAGATTTTGATTATCTACTAATTTTTTAACACAAATTTTTGGTAAAAGAACGCTTCGAAGTTGATTATATCTTGGTTGATCTTGTTGTTCTATTACAAATTGTTCAGAATTAATATTTTGAAGATCATATAAACGGTAACCATAAATTGAATATATAATTGTAAATAAAACAATGAGATAAAAGAAAATGCGACTTGACATATAGGATGCCATAACCAGATGGAAATGATTATGATAAAACAAAATGAAATGTGATAAAAGATTTTCTTCTTTTTCTTTTCTCTAATTCTATGACAAAGTTCTCCTTTCATAGGGTTCAACATTATTTATATGGTTTCAGTTCACTTGTTGACTCATGTATCAACTGAAAAACATGATATACATGTATTTAATACCGCACTTAAATATTCAAAATTGAAAATTTGATTCTGGAATAGAATTAATGTTCGTCATGTATCAGTTTATTGAGCCATAAACCAACGTAATAGACATATGGTTACATTCTCATATGGCTACATAGGTACATTAGAGAAAATAGTGTAGTACAAACATAAATAATAAATAATTGTCTGCTATGACAATATCTGTACAAATTCAGTGTTACTATAAGTTAGATTGATTCATGAATGTTTAAATTGTTTTGGATAGGATACATATAAATATATGTCTCTCTAGTTTTATCGATAAAAATATGATTTTAGTCAAAAACAAATTAATTTTTTTAAACTGTTAATATTTATTATATTAGTATGCAATCAATCAATCTATTGAGTAATTTAATAACAAAAGTCGTTTTCTATAAACATATGGTACGATTCATTCAATTTGAATTGTAATGTGACAATCTCCTCTCATTTTTCTTCTCATCATCCTACGCATTCTTTTGACATTCCTTTATAAATTAATAGAGATAAAATGTCAACATCAAACATGACTATTATAAAGCAGAGGTGGAATCTTATGAAGTTAACTCATCTCATCTGAAATCTTATAAGATCGTTTTTTTTTCTTATACTAGATAAATATCAACAAAGTGTATGATTATTTTAAATGAAAAAAAATTAGGTTATTCATTCAAAAAGAAGAAAAAACACAATTTACTGCACAATGCATACTGAGAATTTAAATAAAAAAAAAAAACAAACTTATTTTACTAACCGGTATGTTATTAGAGAAAAACAAAACATACATATGGAAATGTAGATATATATACATATATAATATGAAAAAGACAAACAGAAACTAATTTTATATTCTAGATCATCGTGTTCGTTTACGATATCCTCCAAATAAAATTTTCTTAAACGCTTTTCGAAAATCGGGTGAAAATATCGTATAAATCACAGGATTTAAAAGACTGTTCAAATATCCAAGCCATGTTAATACACTAATAACTTTTTCATTTATTGTTAAATGAAATATTCCACAAATTGTTTCTTCAAGAAAAAATGGTAACCAACATAAAATAAAACAACCCATAACAACACCAAGAACTTTCGTTGCTTTACGTTCACGTTTTATATCAATTTTTTTTTGACGTGTTACATGACTTCCGGCTGCTGCTGCTGCAGGTTTCGTTACAACTGTTCGATTATTATTATGAGAGTTAGTATTATTTATATTAGTTAATACAGCTGTTGTAACGACTTTTGATGTTGGTAGATCGGTAATATGAGATGAATCTGATGGAGAATTATTGAGATTTACTAATGGATTATTAATTGTATTTACTGTTATTGGAGAATCATTATTGAATGATGATGTTATTAAACGACGTGTTGATGAAATTGAAGCTTCACAATTCAACTGTTGTGGGTCTTCATCATCTTCTTGTGTTAAACGATTTGTTGTTGTTAATTGTATGACAGGTGCTGATGTTGTTGTTTTAGTTATAATACTACTACCACGTTTTGATTTTATTAAAGAATAAGAAGATTTTTTTTTTAAAGATTTTAATTGATAATCATGATTATGTTGACTTGTTGATGATGAGAATGCTGATGGATTATCTGTTTCAATATCATGAGAATTATGATGATTAGATCCATTAGGATTTCTTTTAAAAAGTTTTTTTAATTGTGATGGAGAGAATCGTTGATATTTCGTATTTTCTGATATAGATATTTCATGATTTGATGTTAATAAAGCATCATTTTGATGTTGAGTTGGTGATACCGGTTGAATAGTTGTTGTTGGTGGTGGTGGTACTGATGGTGGCGGCGGTGCTGCTGGTGTTGGTGCAGAATGACCCGAACTGAATGCTTTACGACGTATACGAAATTTAGCTGCTTGAAAAATTTTCCAATATATAATACACATGCCAATAAGAGGAATATAAAAAGCTCCAATAGTTGATATTATTGTATATGGTACATTGCCCATTAGACGACATTGATCCGGTGAGCGACCACTTGTATCACGAAATATAGGCAAGAGATGAGCACTTGATATTAGAATAGATGATCCCCATATAACACAAATAAGCATTAGCACTCGAGCAGGTGTACGTTTTGTCGCATAATCCACTATTATTTAATGTATAGAAAAAGAAAGAACATAATAAATATTAATATTAAAAAACTATTCAATTTTATTAGTTACTATTATTGAAGGTCAATATGATATATATATATTTTTAATATTTCATACTTTCAAAAAGTGTTTTATTATTTTCTTAATTGAAATATATATTACAATTTTATCAATGACTTACAATTAGTAATAGACCAATAACGATCAAGTGCAATGGCAACAAGATGTAATATAGAAGCCGTACAACAAAGTAGATCGATCGTAACAAAAGCATCGCAAATAAATGAGCCGAGTATCCATGAACGTGTCACTTCTTTCAAAAGAGTTATTGGCATAACCTAAATAAATATATATATATATATATAGTTTTTTCTTTTTCTTCAAAGAACTATGTGATTTGATTTAAAATATATATAATAATTAATAATTCATTAAAATATGATTAGACAATCAATTCTATTTAAGGAAAAAACATATTTTTCATTTTATATAATCAATTGAATCAATATTCTATAATAAATAGAATCATTATTTATAAGTTAATATTCGTTATTCCTTTGTTCTTTCATATAATAAGTATTAATATTTCGTACATCTTCGTCTATACATTCTATTGTGATTTTTGCTTGTGTTTCTATATACATATATATAAAGTACACTTGGCATTACACTAACGAATTTTTCTCATATATTCGATAGTGTTTGCCATTGTTACTATATACTATGAATATACATATTTAATATGATAGTTCATCACATAGATGACATTGACTTTGATGCACATCATAACTTATTCTCAAATTATAGTGAATGTATTTAATTTATATATATATATATATACTTGACAAACAGTGATAGAATAATATATTTTCACGCATCTAACATATTGTTTACTAAATAATAATGGAAAAAAAGCAAGCGAATTGTCTATATGTGAGATAGACAAAAAAAACACTTTCCTATCTATATATAGAAAGAATTTCAAGGATAATTATCCATAGCACGCATACATTTAAACGAAAGACTAAGATGCTAATGTTGAATGACAAGCAAATAATTCGACAAACTAACTCAAGCAGCACTATTCTTATTGATCAAGATCTTTTTAATCAAACGAATAACATGTCTATATTCCAAATGCTAATGTGGTAATATTTATGCTTACGACAAGGTACTAACTAAATACATCTTGTTTTTTTTAACTATACAACGTAGTTGAATTGTTATGGAAAAAAACATAAATAACCCATCCATGATTATTTAAAATCAAACAAGAAGAACATAAAAGAATCGAAAGAAACAAAGGAAATATTTGATGTATGTCGTTTATTATTATGCTAGATTTGATAACATCAAATCTGATAAAATTTTCCGTTATGATTTCATTCTTGTTTTGTTTCTATAGTTTTTGATGATCTTATATTCATAAAAGAAACATGACAGTGATTGTTGTAGTAGACATTAGTAAAACTCGAATATTAAACAAAACAAAAAAGGAAAAAGAAGGAAGAAAAGAAAATAACTGAATTAAACAATCAGAAAAGCAAAATAGAAAAAAATGCATGTGAATCTTTCTATTTGTGTATGGTATTGAATAAGAATAATAATAAAATCAAACTGCGACCATACACAATGAAAATAAGAGAGAAACGAGTCGAAACGGAACGAGATGAGAATATTTCTTCTTCTTCTTCTCTACTGCATTTTTTCTTCTTTTCTTATACCAATATATATCTCGATCATCACTCATTTTTACTAATAACAACAACAAAAAACAAAAACATTAGTAACAGCTGTCTATACTTTCTCACACTGAGTATTTGGCAGATGTTTTTTCAATAGTTTTTTAATCAAAAGAGAACAAATCTGTTTATATATAAACACGATATAAAATCAACTTGAATTATTTCTATGATAATATTTATTTTTAAAAATTGAATATTATTTAATTGAACGACATCGTTTATATTTGTATTCTCTGATCATATATATAAATGAGTTGAGTGTATTTATTCATTGATTTATTTATTCTTATGTAAATGAAGGCAATCTCATCAAGTAATCAGAGAAAAATGTACGTATATGGTCGACAAGAAAGTATTAATTTTTTCTTTCTCTTATCATTATCTAAGAAAAAGAGAAAGAGAGAGAGAGAAAGAAAAACCCGAGAGAGGGAGAGATATTACTATACTACTTCTGTAGCATATGTAAATTATCTACAAGCAAAATATATATTACCATCATATAACAAATGTGTATAACATATGTACATGTGAAACGAGTAAGAGAAAACTCAAACCATACACAATAATCAGAGTAGTTCTTTTTTCGTTAATGTCTTGTTATAGAAAAGGAAAAAGAAAACTTTTATCAACACCATTAACACATTGCTAATTTCTCAAAAAGAATACATATAAACAAAAAAAGAATACAAGCAAGATTTGTGTTGGATATAAATGACTGATGAATAGATGAATGTCAAAGGATATGTGTTTCATAGTATAAATCACGTCATTCATCAACATAGTTACTCTAATGACATAGACATGTTTCGAAAAAGAAAAATGATTTTTTCTTTTTTTTTCTTCTTCTTCTTCTTCTTTCCTAATCTTCTTCTGTTCATTTTTCCATATTTCTATAACCTTAGTGTTTGACAACTGAAAAAAGAAACAAATCATATTTATTAATAACTTACCATAGTAGCTATTAGTAAATCAGCAACAGCTAATGATACAAAAAGATAGTAGGCAACTGCATGAAGAGATTTTTCAAGTTTAACAGCAGCTATAACAAATATATTTCCAGTTATTGTTGATAGAATAATTGCACCGAGAATAATTGTTGTTATTATACAATGTTGTATAGATACAAATATCGATGATGATAAGGGATGATTTGCTGATGATATTAGATCGTTTTTTGGATTGTCGTCACCGGTTATAACACTTGGGTGAAGTACGTCTCCAAATATAAATGTTGATGAATTAAAATGAGCAAAAGTACCATTGACACACGAGAGATTGTATGTTAAAAAACAGTCCATCGAATCGACGAACATAAAGTCGGAAGGACTTCGAATCGATTTTGATGGTAATATGGATAGTATTATTTATCGATTTATGTTCGCCTCGACGCACTGAAATCAGGTTATGGGTACCAATTGAAGGAGCCCAAGTGGGCGAGGCCATATGGTAATAAAACGTACTTTAAATTACCTTCTTCACCTGGTCACTGTACATATCATTGTTATTATCGTTATTCTAATTATAATAATAATAATTATTATTATGAATGCTTCGTTGAACGAATGTGATAAATTCTGAAAATATTTTGTTGCATAGAAAAAACATGAAACAATAATATTTCTTTTTAGCTAAAAGAGAGAAAACGACAGAAAAAAAGAAAGAAAGAAAGAGAGAGAGAGAGGGAGAGAGAGAGGGAGAGAGAATTGAGAATAAGACTGACTGCGACTATTACTAACCTATCTTATCTTCTTTTTTTCAGAATCGCGTTCCCTTTTTCTTTCTCCGCCTCAGACAACAATAATCGTCGTTAGAACAAAGATGACGACAGTAAGAAAAAGAGAGTATCAGAGAAGAAACAAAGAACGACTCACGAAAAAAGAAAATCAATATTTCTCATATTTCAATATATGTCTAAGCTTCTGTACTCGAAAAAAAGAAGAAGAAGAAGAAGAAGATAATAATAATTCTCTTGGTCCATGCATTTATCCATCTGCTTCTATTTCTTTTTTGTTTTGCGTAACTGTTTCAAATGATAATTACTTTCAGACAGTTAACAGTAGGTTTCCTGGTAAACAAATATTTGAATATCGATCGAATAACCTATTATATAGCGTAGGCAATCTGATTACTTTTCTGTACATTCTTAATGAAGGAAAAAAAAAAGCACAAAACAAAAAGAAAAACGTATATCTACAATGTTAGTTCAATAAGGAGCATAACACAAAAGAAAATTATAATAGAAACTAAAGATAAGAGATCTTGAAAGAAAAATCACACGATGTATGTATGATATCAGATCAAGTCATCTATATGTCAATGCAGATTTTAACAGTGTCTTTAGATGATATCATTTTGTAGAAATTCGATTAAATGAAAAGAAAAAAAGACAAAAATAGATTTATATGTAAACTATACTAAGAACGTTCTTTTCTACAAATAATATGAGTAAAAATAATTATGTTTCATTTATTTGTCTACGTGTCCCAAAATGATTGATCGTGTCATTATTAAATGCTAAAAAGTACAAGCATGCAGATTTGTTTCATAAGAATACTTTTTCCGAAACAAGACAAAAAACAGAAGAAAAGAAAACCAAGTAACAGTTTATAAATAAGATTTTGTTATTCGTACATGTACATACCTTAGATTTCAATACTAAATTTTATTTAAAATTGAGATATATGTTTGAAGTATATCAGATAAATACTTACTTCTGGAAACTAAAGTATAAATTATTGTTCGAATTTCCTTCATTTCCTTATTTTTCTTTCTCTCTCTCCATTCTCTTATTATTTTTCTCTTTTTCATTTTGGGAAACAAAAAAAAATGGCAACCGACAAGCGTACGAACAGTTACACATTGTATTCCATTCTCTTCTTTATGTTCTACAGAGACCATTTTCTGTCATTTGTATTGGTCCCTATAGTACAGGAGTATCTGTCATAGTCTTATGAACATCATCGATCATCACCTATATTGATTATCTTACTATTTCAACCATATGTAACTATACTATTAAAATTCTAAAGTTCGTTTTTCACCTGTTGTCATTCTTAGAGAAAAATCGATTAAGCTTTGATAAATTAATTGTATCGAGAAAGAAACAAAATTAAATAACTTAGATTTATATAATTTTATAAATACATACATACATACATACATGTAGACTATTATTTCTGGCGTTGTCACTAAACGAATTAGCTCAATTCACTACCAAAACTTAATCATGCAAGTTGAATGAATACTTTATATAGCTTTGTCTCGTTTGCTTGAATGAACGAATTCCCTATTGAACCGCAATCAGCGTAAAAAATGTTTTGCATGCATACCCATGCTTCGGAAATTGTTATTCACAACCATGATAACAACGAAGACCAATACCTTAAGGGTAAAGTGTACTACGTAATGATTCCACCGACGTCATATTCTATTAAAAAGATTTTAAGGGCGACTGACAAGAAAATTTCGCGCGTACAGTGTTTAGTCATATTTGTGCCTATTGGTTTTTCGTCTATTTAATTATTAAAAAAAATTATATATGCTCACGATAATAACTGTCTGTAGTGGCTATCTAAATGTGTCTATTTATGACCTTTTTTTAATAGCGTAAACGAAGGGGGTACGCTCTTTTGCTTTTGTGCGCTAGTTGTGCGGAACAACAAAACAGCTATATCGAATTAGAGTGATATATTTGACAGAATAGCACAAGCACTCGCATCAAGAGGATCGCTCCAAATAGCAAGCGTTACACAGACGCCAAAAAAAAAAGAAAGCGGAACTCAAAAAAAAACAGAAGAAACAGAAAGAAGAGAAGAGGAAGTTCTCGTCAAAGTGAGATTCTTCATTGCACTATGATCTCGTTTCATGCTTGCGTGCATGATCAATAGCTGCTAGTATATCTCCCATGCGACATACTTAGACATCATAAAGTCATTAGCACTTTTTCTGCATAGTTTTCACTGTTCATTTTCTTGTAGCCTATAGAAATCAATTCATACGCTTAAATGAATACTAACTATACGTGTTAAATAACTTTCTTACAATTGTTTTCAATGTAAGAACAAGATAAAAAGATTATTACATGACTCAAGTGATTCTTTCAAAAACAAAACACATACATACATTCATTCATTCATCAATGATATGAAATAACAAAACAAAGATCAAAAACAAAAAGAAGTGCTAAGATCAATGTTCAAAACATCCAATTCAAATGTCAATATCTTTCTAGACGTAGAATAAGAAACTTTGAAAATATACTGTTTTTTTGACCCCATGAACAATACTCCTCTATGTGATTATTATTGAAGATAATTTAAATGCAAAATTTTGTCGTAAAAAATCATGTCATATTGATGGAAAGTATTTTTTATAGAATATGCAATATATATCTATACTAATGTCTCTAAATAGAAAGGAACATAAAAAAAGGAAAGAAGGTAGAAAATGATCGAGAATGACATCAAGAGAAAAAAAATGAGAATAGAGATTGTTATGATTATCATAAATAAGAAGAAATTTTTAGATTAGAAATAGAAAAAGAGCAAACGTCTATCATTTTGTCAAACATAAGTTGATATAAACTCGAAGCCAATCTTCGTAAACAAAATGACGGAAATGAGCAATGCTATAAATAAACAGTTTTGACCTTTGAATGTCGCCATTCGTATTGATATTCAATCAGTACGGAGAAAAGGCAAACAACATTTACCTCACATTTATGTACGTTATTGTATATAAACATGTTATACTAATTGAAGGGCTCTTGTTTCTCAATGAAAATCCAACGACGAACATGAGGCAGGGAAAAAAATACGAGAGGGAAAATACACTTACCCTGCTCAAGGTTTTTTCAATAGACACTCTTAATACTAATGTTAATGCTTTACCCTGATTTTTTTATCATATAATATGCACAACAGTCGTATTTTTTGGTTTGTTTCATGAATAGAAAATAACAATGAGATGCAGTAGTATGGCATACGCTTGGAATAAGGGACTAGTAAAAAATGATAGCTTGAAAATCATTGACAGTCGTCTTCTATCAAACCGGAAGGAACTCATACGTAGTTGTCTATCTTTCTTTCTCCAGACGTATTTGACAACTTCTTTTCTCTCTCTCCCTCTCTCCCTCTCGTGTTTAAAGATGGACCACATACAAACAAATAATCATTGTAAACTATCAGCAAAAAACCGATGTACTAAGGAAAAGAGAGATCACAGCGCGAATACAATACAAAAAGGAAGAGAATTTCTTTTTTTTTCTTTTTGAGCAACATCAGAAAATATCATATTTCTGTATTAAAGAATATTCTTTCAGTCATTCGCTTTTCTCTTCTTACAAGATTTCTTTTTAGGTTTTTTGTTTTTCAATAGTTTTTTATTAATAAGATTAATATAATAAATTAAAATTTCTGCTTTTATAAATCTGTATGATTTTCATTCGCATAATTTAACAATAAACTAATATAGTCTGTCGATTTTGTTGTTGTTATATTTGTATTATTGATTGTTGTTTGATTTATTGAATTACTTAATAAACTTGATTTAGAATCTTTATTTGAATATGTTATTGTTGTTGTTCGTTTACGAAACATTCTCATAAATACTGTTAGAGAAATAAATGTCATAATAACAACAATTAACATTAAATATATCCAACAATTTGATACATTATATGCATTATGTTTTAAACGTTTACTTTGAACATTAAGTTTAGCTGTATTATGATCAATTAATGTTTCGGCTTCACTAATTTTCTATAAAGAAAATTTTGTAGAGTTAAAGGAAAACAATAAAATACGAACTTTTTGATCATCTTTAACAATATCACGAAGACGTTCTGCAGTATTTTTAAGACTTTTAGTTGTGTCTATCATAGATGTTGCAACGTCTTCTTGTCTATCTTCTTCCGATTGTATATGTTGTTGTTGTCTATTTAAATTATCTAGACAATAATAAAACAAAACAATATCGTTAGTATTTGATTAAAAGATTTTGTCTTAAACTATTAGATTATAGTATACTTACGACGATCAGATTTATTTGATGTACTGAGATTTTTTTCTGTTTGACTGGAAGACATTGGAGGAGTTGGGATTTCCGGTTGTTGTTGTTCTTTAACTATCGAATCAGTTTGGATTGGACGACTAACTTGCCGTGGAAATGTTTGATCCTCCTTAAATATAGATTTAATATTTTTTTTCAAAAGAATTAATTGAAAAATCTTATGTTATCTATCGTATTGATAATTACGTGACAAACGTAATATAAGATTGGTGTAAACGTAGGTTTAGGAAATAAGATAGTATGCAAAGAATGGACTTGAAAATTTAATATTAATACAATTGAAACAAATTATGTTAATTATTGCGTAAAATGATTCGTTAGAAAGAAAGAATTCTATGTAATTATCATGACTAATCTATCACAGGAAATAATTTCACAATACATAATTTTAATGAAATATTCAATGTGATTATAAAGCTATTAGCCAAGATTATCACCAGAAAACATTAATGAGATTATTATAGAGTTCAAAGGTACCAAAAAGTGAGACAGAATTACATTTACTCTTATATTCCCTGAATATTATATTATTACTTTCATACTAAATGAGAGTATCTTCGTTAAACATCGTGGGAATTTCCTTTTCACTACTAGAATATAGAAGAATACATTCGCAAAAAAACTCGAACTGTCAAGTATGTATTTCATTTTCTTTTTCGGAACGTATTCTTGGTCATCATTATTACTTAATCCATTCGCTAGAGATTTGCTCCGATTTTCCGTAGTTCAAAGTATGAATTGAAGGTGTCAGTTTTTAATTTAAACTCAAGTTGAATTTAGATAGAACCATCCCATGAGATAAGAGATATGTATTTTTTATGAAGAAAAGATAAGTTTACGAGTACATTTTTCACGAGGTTGTCTAGAAAAAAGAACGTGACTTCGTCTTAATTATACTTACTAATTTAATAGGATCAAGACTTTGACGAAGCTTATCAATTCTTTGTTTATATTCATCTAATTGTTTTTTAGCTGGTCGACTGTAAAAACATTAAAAATCTTCTTTTCTTCTATTTAAAAACCCTAAGAAATTATTACTTCATCGATTTGTGCATATCATTTAACATATTTGTTAATGCAATAATAAACTAAAATTGAAGATTGAGGAAAAAAAAAGAATTCGATTTTTTGTTTCTTTATATTATCAATTACTTGATCAAGTTTCCATTCTTCAATAGATTTTTCTTCTAAAAGTTGTTCAGTTGATGATAATAATCTTCGAAATGTTTTTTCTATCAATAAATTCGATGATGCAATTACTGCCGGCATCTACAATGATAAAATGAATTTTATTTTTTATCATCTGTCTGAATATTTCGTAAGGAAAGAAACAGAAGAAGACAAAGAATGTCGTTTATTTATTTTTTTTTATTAATGTCTTTTTACGTTGATTCCACATATGTTGCATCATATGAATAAGACCTAAATAACAAAAAACATGTTTCTTTAATATAGAAGAGGTTTTTTTTCATTTACCTAATGGTAATAATACTAAGTAGATTTGAAGAAAAAGAACAAAATTAAAAGAAAAATTCATTGCATTTGGTAAATCGATGCTGAAATAACGTTTCGATTGATAATAATTAAGACTTTTGTAAATAGTTAAACCTAAAAATTATATATCGATAGATATTAATTGAACAAAAACAAACGAATTAGTTTACCTTCAAGAAATGCACCTAATGGATAAAGAACAATCCAGAGCGTATAACGTAACCATGCAATTATACGATTATCTTTATTTAATAGACGAATACCATAATATGGATAACTTGAAAAGAAAAAGCAAATTTTCAGTTGAAAAATATTGTTTTTTTTTTATTTTCCTACCGAAAAAGTTCAACGAAACTCCATACTAAGAATAGACAAGGTACAACTGGTGATGCTTTTATTTCATTATTAAAATTAATAACAACAAATAAAATTAAATTTCGACCAAGAAACTAAATAAACCAATATGTCTTAGTGGTTTTTTTTGAATAAGACTCCTTACTTGTATTAATGGTGATGTCCAATCACCTTTAGTAAAACCAATTAATGGATGAATCGTTTCAAGAACTGCTAAAGATTGACATAATTTTATTGGATTTTCAACAAGTCTATAAGCATTTTGTAGATCTTTAAATAAAATATATATTTAATTCGAGAATATAAATTTGTTTTTGAAACTTACGTCCTCGGGCTATAAAATAGAAGATTAAACGACTAAATACCAATAAATAAGCCGTAAATTGAAATAAATTATAGAAGAGTAACCAATTTGTTCGATGATCAAGAAAAGCTTTAATAAATATAAGAATATTCAATAAAAATTATAACATGAATTTTATAAAAAATATATCATAAATAATAGTTGACATAGTCAATATTTTTCGTCACAGTTACGGCTATATATTTTCATATACTATGTTTATTATTGATAAAGATCGTATATGTATATGTTTTCATATTATGAAAAACGCAATACTAACATTTGAATTGTGAGTAATCTAATACATATAATATAAATACTTCTGTAGTCGTCATCAATATGAGTCACGTCAAATTTAACCCTTTACTCCCTGGTGGGTCATTTTTGACGCATTCGTAAAACGCTTTTTGGAAAATAAAGGAAGCATGATACTCGAAAACTCTCAAAACAATATTTGCAGGGAACTCCATAAGCTATCGATTGGTAAAAAGAATATTTTGTTTTGTTGCTCTGTCTCCGAGATATATGACTTTTAAAATCGATAATTACGGAAAATATGAAAAGAATTAGGTAAGTAAGATATGTTAAAGCAGACAATGGTCACTCGAGGATTTCAGAAAATCAATACCTTAGGTTCTCGACATCCACAACTCGATAATAACGTTTTGTTTAAACCATGTAATATTATAGAGTGAACACTTCTCTACAAAATAAGACGTCTCCGAGCTCTCTAAGATGTTTTTTTGTCGAACTACATGAGTATTATGGAAAGTCTCTGAGATTTTTTTCCAAGTCGATCGCCCTCAGCAAACTACCGTAAAACTCAAGTCTGTGTTAGATCGATCTGTCCATACTTTTAGCATATTGGAGGCACCAATACTCTATTCCAGTCGTTGTTTCATCAGTAGCTCTTCTAGAACTGCGCCAGCGGGTAAAGGGTGAAGAAATAGAATAAATTCGCATTTTTCCTACACTTGAACTAATCTTATCTTTCTAATTTATCAATTATTTAGTAATATTTATCTAAAATCTAAATGTTTGTTTAGTGCCTATTAGTAGAAGATTCATTTTACTAGCACAGCGATCAGACTCATACGAATAGGAATGTTCTACATAACATGAAAGAAATAATACCTTTTGGTTTCGTTTTGCGAGGATCTTGACGAAGTGATTTATACATATCATCATTAAAGTTATTGTTCTATAAGAAAATAATATTGAAAACATAGTTTATCATTTTATGTTTACTTACAAACATTGGCTTTTTTTGTTCTTGATCAGATTCATCTTCACTAAATGCCATTTTATCAAAATCAGCCTAGAAATATTCAATTCTATATTAGAAAAAGATGATTTTGTTTTAGTATTAAATTCTACCTTTAACCAAGGTAATTTAGCAGAAGCTTTAGTAAGACGTGGCCAAGCATTATTTGTATCGCCTTTCTTTTTCTTTAAATTAACATTTATCTCACGATCATTTATTCTATAGGTACTAGTCTAAATTATAATAATATAAATAATCATTTATTATTTTTTCTTATTTTAATTTACTTTTGCGTCAATTTTTTCAAAAAGTTCAATTTCAAATGAATATAATTGCTCGCCACGTGATCCACTACATCCAGTTGCTTGAAATTTAATACTCGATTCATTAATATCAACTTTTGGATACTAGGAACAAAAAACCAAATAAATATATCAAAAAAAAAATATAATCGATAATGCGACATATTGAAAATATTATTTCTTTGTCTTTTAATCGATTACATCAATAAGTATATCATTTTCATCTCGTAATTTTAAATGTCACTATAGTATAACTGAACTATTGTAATCATAGACATATTTCTATAATCGTCATATCCTGTTCAAATATTAGTATTAGTTGATATTTTGTTAGTAAACTTAATCGTTTTTTTTATCTAGGAAATTATTTATTTTTCCTAGTGCTTAAATCTCGATTATATGAAAATTAAATACATACTTTTACATCTGTAAGTCCAATACGTAATGACACGCTATGTAATGTTTGTCCCCAATGGATCTAATGAAAAATTGAATTATCTATTATATTATTAAAATAAACATGCAAATTATACCGGCGGATGTAAATCAATAGATGATGCCATCTAAAAATGAATGAGAATATAATACCTTTATATTATATTCTTGATTGACTACTACAAGCTATTCTTGTTTTGTTAGTATGCAATGAATTGAAAATACATTGTATATATGTTTTTTTTCAAACTTTTGTCAAATTTTATTGTATTTATTAGTATAGAGTAGAGTTTGAGAGAACATGCGCAGAAAAAAGAGAAAGAGAGAGGGAAGAGAAAAAGTCACATTAAAAAAAAAGTTCAGCTCATCACGACCAAAAGAAGAGAAACAGATATACACACACATTCACAAAAAGAGGCTTATTTGCTTGTTTTTTATACACAGCGAAAAAAAGAACAAAAGAAGAAAAACTCATTGTTTATCTCTTGATCACCATCTTTTTGTTTTTTGTTTTCCTTGAAATATGTCAAACACAAACACGCATTCAATCTATCGGCGTGCACACATGTATGTGAAAATTTCATTCACAACAACTGAATCTCGATTAAAATAGATCTTCTATGTATATATGTATATATGTAATTGATTTGCTTTTTGTTATAGCGCCAAGACAAAAAAAAAGAAAGGAAGAAAATTAGAGCAAAGACAAGCTTAAATGTATTGATTTACGCACACGCACCACAACCATACAGAGATATATAACTAAAAGCATCACACACACACACTACAAGAAGTAGACAAATTGTTTAATAAAGAAAAAGAAAAATTTGTTTTTTTTTGTGCAAGAAAAAAAAAGAGATATTGACAGTAAAAACTAATGAGTTGAGAGACAAAAAAAGTTTTATTGCACACACACGCGTGCGTGAGCAGCACAGCACAATAGTAGTAGATCTCTTTTTATTTGGTTTTGGTTCGTTTGTTTGTACTTTTTGTCGATATGAAGCTCGGCCATCAAATAAGAGCGTACATCACACAATAATAATAATAAAGAAGAGAAAAAGAAAACAATAGACATTCACATCACAAACATACAAAAATTGGATGGTACCGGGAGGGAATTCTCAGTGCGGTGCAGTGCATCATCAGCGGAAAAAAAGAAGAAAAACAGATATGAAATACAGAAGAAAAAAAAATTTCCATCTGAAACTCACACAAATATAGTCGACATTAATAGATACACATAATGAAAGAGCATGAAATGTAAATGTACACGATTGTAATGAGACAAAGAGAAATAGGACACAGTTTTATCATTTCACTGACTTTGTTTTGGCCGAAAGAGAGAAAAAAAAAAGAAAAAAGAAAAATTAAAGAAGAAAGAACAAAAATGAAATAAACTCGCGATTTTTGTTTTGTCTGTCGTTGTTACTACTACATATATGGTCGATAGCCGCCGAAAGACGCATGAGGTGGTGGATGATTGAGCGATGGTGGTGGTTTTGATGTACCTCGATATTGTTGTGGTTTACCCCAATCGTTCATCGATGATTGAAAGCCTTGTTGATCATGCATGGAACCTTGTTGCCATTGTGATCGATTTGTTTGTTGTTGTTGACGTTGCATATGATGAAGTAATTGAGGATTTGAAAAGGCACTAAAATTTATTTAAATAAAATGTTACAAAAACATTTTGTTTTTTCATTTTTCTTTACCTATCAGCCCCACCAACATTGAGATTACCCATAGATGATGATGGTCCTTTTGGACCAATTGGTAATGAACTTGGTGTTACATGTGGATCATCTTCTGCATTTGGTAATGATGATTTCCAATTCCATAATTGACCAGGTACAAATGGTGGTGGACCTTCAATATCATCAACGAACTCTGATAATGCATCACCAAATGCTGCTGATGATGCTTGATTATTATGTGCATGAGGATCAACATTACTACCTTGATTATTAGTATTTGATTCATTTGTTTGATTATTTTCCCAATTATCATTTGAATGATGTCCACTTGTTTGCCAATCTCTTTGTGTTATACCTGGTGGTCCAAACATTGATGATGATGATGATTGTGGTCCTCGTGTTCCTGTTTGTTGTTTTGTCCATTGATGTAAACGTGATTGATCAACATTAAGTGTATTTTGCATACGATCAGCTAATTGATCTTGAGATTGTGTTGATGATGCACCAGGTGGTGCTTGACTTTGAGCTCCTGGACCATTAGACATCATTTGTGATGGTGTTGGTGTAGGTGCACCTAATTGTTGTTGTACTAATTTTGCATGTGCATCTTGAATTTGTTTTTGAACAATTAACATTTCTTGTTTTTTTTGTGTAATTAATTTTGATAAACGTTCGTATTCAGTTTGGAAGAAAGTTATTGGAAAACGTTGTTTATGTTTGGAAAAATCAGATAACTGAACGGATAATGACTGATATTTTTGTTGAAGTTCAAATAATTTTTGGAGAAGCTTTAAAAAAACAACGAAAATTTAGAAAAAAGAGAATAATTTAAACAATTATTTTTACTTGTAACATAAATGGTGGTAATTTAGTATTGAGCAAATCTTGACTAATTAAACCCGCTTGTACAGCAAGACGAAATTGTTGCATAATCTGAGCATGTACTGCAACATTATTAATATTTCCTGATCCTCCTTGTTGTTGTTGTTGCTGCTGCTGTTGCTGTTGCTGTTGTTGTTGTGGTGTTGGGGTTTGAGATGATTGTGTTGGCATATTGTTTTGTTTACCAGTTAATGGAACGTAGGGTGCTTGATTCGGCACAGGTGATGTTGTTGATAATTTAGGTGATATAAGACCACCCGTACCCATAATAGCACCAGATGGTGTTGGAATACCATTTGGATTAATTGGTCGTAAAATATTACCTGGTTGATAGAGTGAATTAGGTCGTGGTGCAAATGGAAGTTGAGATGGTGGTAACATATGATGTGGTGGTTGTTGATTAGCTGATGGTGGTAATAAACCACCGAGACCAATGATAGGATTTTTGAGATCAGAATTTTGTCGATATTGATCACCACCCATCGATGGATTTTCAAAACCACCCATACGATGTATACCATGAGGATCATGTGGACCTTCACTGAGATCATAATCATTCATAAATCGATTTCGATTCATTGATGACATTTGTAATGATCCACCCATACCACCGCCGCCACCACCACCACCACCGCCACCGCCAGGTCCTCCTTGTACTCCCCAACTACTTGTATCAACTTGACCTTCATATGGATCAAATGGAACTTTATTTTGTGAACCCTAATAAGAAATAAATAATATAATGACATATATATATATATACAAATCATAAACTTACCTGTAAACCCCAATCACTTGTATCAACCATTCCATCACGAAACCAATCATCACCATGATGCATTGATTGTTGTTGAGGATGAGAATTCCAATGTTGTGGTGGTGCTGATTGTTGTGTACGATAATTTGGTGGTTGTTGTTGTTGCTGTTGTTGTTGAGGTGGTGTTGGTGAAGATGTTCTTTGATCAGTTAATGTAGATGGATCATTCCATTGTGACGTTGGTTGTTGCTGTACTAACGTCGGTGATTGTTGTTTTGGCCAATTTTCATCATTGAGTGTCATTTGTGTTGCTGATGGTGTTGAAACAGAATTTTGAACATTTGATGAAACAGGTTTTTGAACAATAGATGGTTGTTGTTGTGAAATAGTATTCGTCGAATTTGTTAAAGCTGTTTTTGTTCCATTAGTCCATTTTTTCACTGGAACAGAAATTGATTCTACTGGATCACCCCAAACAGATGTACCATCATCAAAATTTGCACGTTTAGCTACTTTTATATCAGGTTCATCCCAACCTAATTGTTCGACAAGTTTAGGTTGTGGCGTATAGGACACGGGTGCATCACCATTTCCACTTAAATGGTCAACATTTGCACCACCAAGAGCAATTGCTGATTTAAGCGCACCAGTGAGTGAAGCAGCCATTACTGATGATGACGATGAAGAAGATTTATGTTTATTGATTACTGAACCATTGTTACTACTTGTTGTCAATGTAAGCGTATCATTAGCATTACCTGATGACGATGGATCTTGCCATGTGGATGATGCACTAATAAATAGAAAAAAATATATATGATATATTTTAATTAAATTGAAAAAAGAAAGAAATGATAATTTTTTTTATATTTTTCAACTACTAAAAATATATATATTCAATGAAATTTATATGGTGAAATAGATATACTCTCTAATAGTATTTTACCTATTATTAATCACATTATCACTATTATTTTGAGGTAAATTAAATGGTACACTAGTCGTTGAATTAGTTCCGTAAAATGTATTTATTTCCGGCCATTGATTGCTTGGTGGATTGCTATTTCCAGCTGCATTTGATCTGGACGGATTATTATTATTATTTTGTGTTTGTTGTTGTTGAAAATTTGACCAACCATTAGTACTTGAATTATTTGTGTTCACCGGCTTAGCCCAATCAGATGTTGGACTGGATGATTCAAGTCGATCAAAGCCTAAATATTTCATTCATAGAAAACTACTGAATATTATTTTCATATTAAAAATAAAAACATATTATTTAAAGCATGCTAGAACATTAGAGAATAGAAAAAGCAACAAAATAAAAACTGAAAACTCATACCATCCCCACCACTTGGTATATTGTGATTAGAATCATGTGATTGTTGTGAAGAAGTTCCAGCTAGATTTGAATGTCGTTGTGCATCGTCATCAATCATCCATGATGATGTTTGATTGAAATTTAAAGGCCAATTCATTTGAGATTGTTGTTGTTGTTGTTGATCATAAAAATTTGACATGAAACCAGCACGTGATCCTGGAAAATTAAATGCACCGCTGATTAAAGGTGTTACTTGAGAGGGTGAAATGCTTTTGGTCGTCGATGATATACCTGTTGCCCCTGATGGTTGTGTACCTCCTACTGCAGAAGTTGTTGCTGAATGTTGAGAAGATGGTGATGAAGATGATGGTGAATTGCCAACAGCACCTCCACCACTATTGTTATTCCCTGCTGTAGATGCAGTATTTGCTACTGCAGCTGTAGTTGTTGTTGTTGTTGTTAATGATGAAGTTGTAGACGTATTGGACGGTGTATTTGGATTTGAATTGAGAATTTGAGCCCATGTAGGCTTTGATGGCGAAGGGTAGGGCGAAGGTCCACTAACACCGGTAGTATTACTACCACTACCACCACCACCACCACCGCCTATTTACAGATAGAAGAAGAAGGAAAACAGAATTATAACGATGCAATTTTCATTTTTTTTGAAAAAAATTAACAATAGATGAACGGAAAAAATAGGAAAAAAAAGCAGGCATTGTGCATAATTTTTTTTTTTTATTAGCTATAAAATAAATAAATAAACAAAACATCTTACCGAATAAAGATGAAGACGAAGAGCCTGTTGGAGAAGGATGGCTCTCGTTACTCATCGTCACAGACACTTTTTTAGATATTTATGTGTTTGTGACGTTAAAAAATGACAAGATCTAGAGGAATAATAAAAAAAACGCACATTTACTATTATAATCACAAACAATAAACTATGTACATATAGATAGAAATTCTATTTTTTTTTTCTTCTCATGACTAGCAGCCATGCTTGATGAACCATTTAGAAGGAAACAAAGAATGTTATATGTGTATGTGTGTGTAGTTTTTATCTAAATGCATTGACGATTAACTTACGAATAGTAAAGTTTGTAACTAACGACATCTAACAAAAAGAAAGACAATATATTTATATAATAATAACTGATTCGATAATTAAAATATTTTATTAGAAACTTTTGTATTCTCTAATATAATTTTAAGATTCAATAAAATTTATCAAGGACAAGAACTAACGATATCTATAACGAATCGTTTTTATTGACTCTTGTCATCTCTGTCAAAAAGTAAACATAAATTGTTTTTTTTTATAGAAAGAAAAAAAAGAGACAAAATCAAAATAAAATTAATCAATATTATGTAAGATTTAATGAAATTAATTAAATAATCTTTGATAAGTTCTTTTATTTTATTTATTGATCTCATAAAGATCATGGGTGAGAGAAGAAAATGCTCGTCTTGATTTAGCTCTACTCTATTGTTCCTTTTTCTTTTTAATCACTTAATTTTTCAACAAATATAATAATAATTCATTTTTTAGCTACATATACTATTCAAAATGAAAGAGAATCAGGTACGATTCATTTTATTTTAATAAAATAATATATAATTTTTTTTAGATCTAGAATTAACACACCCTCCATGGTTTATAAGTACATGTCGTAATCATAATGATGCTCGTCAAATTCTTGAATCTTGTCGTACAATCGAAGTAAATCGAACAGTTTTCTTCTTACTATTTAATCGTTTATTTATTATTATTATTATAGAATGGGAATTTTTTTGTACGTCATAGTGAAAGTCAAAATGCTAAATATACTATATCAATTTGGTTTAATAATACAATAACACATGTACGTATACATCAATTAGAAAATAAACAATATCAACTTGCATTTGAACCAAGTTCAAAATTTTCAATTCCAGTAAGATTTAGAAAAAAAAACAATTGAATTGTATGGATTTTTATTTAGACATTTTCAACAGTTAAAGAATTAATTGATTTTTATTCGGTACATAATATGAAGCTATTAGGACATTGTCAAGGTTTTGTCAAACTTAAATTTAATTTAAACATATTAAAATAGATGAAATTCCCGAAGAGAAATGGATTTTACAAATACAAGTTAATATCCTATTTTCAGATAATAAAATGCTTAATAAAATTAATTATGATCCATATTTTGATGATGAAGATGTAAGTTTTTTAATATTAGACATCAGATAAAAGTAGATTTAGAAGTCTTTCAGGATGCAAATGAAGGTAGTTTTTATTCGTAAACCTAAGCTGCTCCTTTCCTATTTGCTCATATATTGCTTAAAAAAATTTGTTTTTTTTCTATATTTTATAGAAACTTACCGTCAATTATTAAAAAAACGTGGTAAATAATCTTTCGATTGATTAAGATAATTTCAATGAATCATCATATTTAGGAATATTACCACCTTGTGATCCGAAAACTGTATGTTTTCTCTTAGAATGTAAATTCTATTCTATAAAATCTTTATTTAGTTACCTGTTTCTTCACGTTCACAACGACATACTCTATGTTCGAGAAAAGAAGCAGAAAATATTTTAATGAAAACAATTGGTGTTTGTGTATGAAAAATAAATTTCTTTTTTTTTTTCTCGCTTTAATTTCTAATTTCTTTTTATTAGCCTGGTAATTTTATCGTTCGTCCAAGTATTAATGCTAATCATCCATATTCATTATCTGTTTTATCGCATGAAAATAGTATCTATCATTTTCAAATTGGTCAAATAGAAAATAAATATATTTTAGGACCTCTTGAAACAGTTGATTTATTAAAATCAAAAGTAAAATTTGAAAAAAATGATTTTATTAATAGATAACATATTTTAATTTGCAATTTAGAAATTTTCTTCAGTATCTGATTTTATTAATTATTATTTAACAACTTCAATTACATTTAAAGATACTAATCATCAACAGCAATCAATTCTTTTACAATTATATTCAACTAGTGAATTTACACGATTTTGAAAAACAAAAATTCTAATGGATACCTTTTAATATCGCCTTTTTATTTATGATTAAAATATGCAATATATACATATATATATTTAATCTCGTTTTTACAAACGAAAGAAAAGAGAGAATTCGTACAAATATTTTTTATCTTTCATCCTCCTTCATAGAATTTATGCATGTATTTAAATACATAGTTTGATAAAATAACTTACCGATGAACGTCAAGTAAATAAAATAAATCCATATGATAGGCAATTATTCGACATCTTACTATGACGTCATTGTATTTCACAATATTCTTTCCTTTTTCCCTCCGTTTTATTACTCATCATGTCCACTTCATGGGGTAAGATGCACATAAAATCAGTTTCACACTTTTATTTTATAACACGAAGTAAAAAAAGAAATGTGGAAGACATTTGGAAGCTATTAATTTGCTATTATTTATGATAGACGCAAAAAAAATGAATGTATCTATGTATATAAAGATGATTTTTTTTTATTCTCTTTTCAGATGAATTATTATCAGTACCGTCGACATAATTCACATTCTTCTTCTTGTTTCATTTCAAAGTAAGTTTCTAGTTTTGATATATCCTTCAAAAAAAAATAGACAACTAAATATTTCAAATATGTTCTATTGATTTATTTGTTCGCCGCCTACTAAACAATTAGTAGTTGATAACAACAACAACAACATGTTGTTGTGGGTCCGTTATTTGTCCGTTCAAATCGATCCAATATGTGTTAGTAGATGATATGCATAAGAACATGTCTCGGATGAATGATAGATATATAAGTCCTTTTGACGGTCCATCTATTCTTCTTCTTTCTTTTTTATATACCCGACAAAGACAATAGATTTAGCCTTGACATTATATGAAATATGTATGCGATTATGAAGGTGATTACCTTGATCGAAGTTTGACTATATACTTTGTTCTCCCTATCATTTTGTATATTGCGGTTGTTGTTATGATTATTTGAGGATTTACTTATCCGAGAATGGAATGATAGAATGATTGATTGATGGTTTTTCTTTGCTTTCCGTACAGTATCGAAAAAAATAGTTTGTTTTTCTAATTAAAAAAATGTGAAATATATGCTTATTAGATTCTTTCTTTCGTTCTTTCTTTCTTTTTGTACCATATAAATTGATCAATAATGTTTGTCAAAACGTGTTGTCCCCTTGAAATCACAGAATCATGGAACGGAACTAAAGAGAAAGAAAGAAAGTAAGAAGAAGAAGAAGAAAAAAAGAACGAATGTGTCAGTTAGTAAACGATTGGAGAGAGAGTCAACAGAACAGAAGTCTATCGTACGTTCAGTATCAATGTCTGTACAGACCTGTGAATAGAGAAGAAGAAGAAGACAAGAGAAGAGAAAAAAAAGAAGGCGAGAAAAGAGAAACGAAAGAAAAATAATTGCAATGCAGTTGCAACTACTATGATGAGTGCAACTTATACAAGTAAACGACGAGGACAGGAAGAAGCTGAAGAATAGATCACGTAGAGTAAGTTCAAAATATGAAGCAATGTGTTTATATGTACGTATACACATATATAGACGTATTTAACCTTTGCCATTGGCAGAATGATTCGTGATAATTATAGATAGATGATTTCAACATTTTGCGTATGTTTACCCAGAGTAAACATACATTCATACATACATTACATTTAACTTATTCATTCATTCATTTCATTCATTCATTTATTCGTCTATTCATTTCTGATTCATATATATATATATGTATATGAATGACTATATCTTTATTCTCTTATTTTTTTCCTTCTAGTTAGTGATTATCAATATTGATTGAAATGATGCTCAATACGAGTAACGTTGCACATTCAATTCTTGCTGAAGAAGTGGACAATTACAATAGTAACAATAATAACAATAATAATAGTCTAATGCTCAATGATCTATCGTTTCATAATGATGATATCATCGCAAATGGATCAATACATTATGGAGTCTATGACACAACTGTATTTGACGTGCTCAAAGTTGATTCTGAAGATTTTGCTGTAAGTTTTTATGTTTGTTTTCTTTTCTTCTATTTACCTTGAAAAAGAAGAGAGGCTTGTTATGTGAACAACTATAAACATCACACGTTAAATCTTCTATATTGTTGACATACGATTGATTGAGTAAACTTTAGAATATACATATATAATCCTCAATACTCATCTATCGTAGTCGGTGTTATCTTTATCGTTGAACACTAACACCATATGTTATATGATTGAGAAGAAAGGAAGAAAGATAAGTTTGTCTTATATATATGATACACGGATATGATCTATCACTAAAAAACAAACTAAGATGTTGTAGAAAGAATACGAAGAGATAAGAAATAAAAATTTCTTTTTTGATTGATATTCCTCATGGGAAATCTGCATCGAAGGTTTTTTTTACTTACTAAACATCTGTTAATTCCCAATGCTTGATAGGAAAAAAAAGTTCATCATTACTATAATTTCTTTTCATTTCTAGTCACAAATCACATTAATGGATCTTCCAGTATTTCAAGCCATAAATCCTGATGTATGCTATTTAAATAAAACGAAAAGAAAAAATGAAATACGAATCTTTGATTTTTCTAGGAATTAACGAGTTGTGCTTGGAGTTCAAAAGCTAAACTCGAAAAAGCCGTTCACATTGTTCAATTTACTCGTAGATTTAATCAAGTATGTTATTTCAAAAATATATATTGACATAGGAGTTATAAAAAAAATTTTTTGTTATATCATAGGTCAATTTTTGGGCTCAAAATGAGCTTTTACGTGCTGATATTTTAAAAAATCGTACGGAAATTCTATCTCATTTTATTCGAGTTGCCAAAGTAAATTTAACAAAAAACAAACAAACATATATCGATTTTTGTTTTGTAGAAACTTTTTGAATTCAATAATATAAATGCATGTATGGCTGTTGTTATGGCTTTACAAAGTGCACCTATTTATCGATTATCAAAAACTTGGGCGGTAATGAAAATCGTTAATTAAAAGAAAAAAATCCAATAAATTTTGTCTTTTAGGGTCTCAGTAAACGTGATAAAACAACATTTCATAATTTAAGAGAATTTGTATCATCAAATGAAAATTGGAAACGACTAAGACATCATTTAACAAATGCAAAGCTACCATGTATTCCATATCTCGGTAAATAATCAAATAAATAAATATTTTTTTTATTTCAAAAAACTTTTTTATATTTTAGGAATTTATTTAACTGATATAATCCGTATTGATACACTTCATCCACATGGTGGTGGACTTGAAACAACTCAACGTAAAAATGCGATGAATAATATATGTCGAATTATATCCGAATTTCAACAATCATCTTATGGTTTGTTTTTTTCATATATATAAATAAAAGAGAAAGTCATTCTGTTTTTTTTTGTAGATTTTCTTAAACCAATTGAATGTGTACAGAATTATCTTGGTACTGTACGTTATATGGAAGAATTACAAACATTTGTTGAAGATCAAAATTTTAAATTATCATTATCTATTGAACCTGATATAGTAAATGGTGATCATTTAGATTCACATGGTGAACGAACACCAAAAAATTTAGAAAAATCAGCATCATTCAAAGCTTCACATGCTGATTCACATTCAACATGTTCACATAGACGGACATATAGTGATTATAATCAGTATGTCAAAAAAATTAATTTTTCTTATTATTTATTAATTTCATTTCTTTGTTTCGTTTTTCAGTACAAATTGTGTATCTTCGTCAAATAAATCTGCAACATTACCATGTAGAACACATGAAAAAAAAAGTTTATTAGATGATAGTGTACTTGGAGATTGTATGCACGAAGAAACTCGATCCAGTAAGTTATTTTAAATTATATAAAAAATTGAAATTTTTAAATGAATCAAATGAAATATTTTAGGTCTATTGTTATATAAAGGTAACATAGTCTGTTAACCTTTTTTTTTGTTTTGCCATTAAACTATGCTTTGCTTATGGTTTTTGTTTCTATATTTTTTAAGAATGATACTAGTCTTAAGAACTAATCTATTACTTTCAATTTCTAAGATAGAAATAATTAAAACAAATCTTCTTATGTAATCTTTGTAATATAGAATTGTTGAGCTCTCATATCAGGACATTAGGGAATAGCATATATATTTACCTTTGAGTATTAAAACGTTCAGGGTCATCGAGTAATCAGAGTATTTCATTCGCCATCTTTTTTAAATCAGCGAGACATTCTTCATTTGTCAAACCACAAAGGAAAGCATTTTATTAGATTAATTAATTAAAACTATATTATGATTAGTTATTTTCAATCGAAGTATTCTCAATGTCATTCATTTTTCTTTTCTATCATCATTATTTTATAGACGAAGTCCCGACACTTAAGAACTATTTTTTAATGCTTTTCAATAAAAAAAAATGTACCTTTTCATGCTGAGAGTGTTCTCTTATAAATATCATCTTAATTGCTTCTTATCCTTCTTTTCTGTTTTGTTCCACCTGCTTATAATTGCTTATTAAAATAAAAAAATCCTTTTTCTTATTAATTTATTATTCTTTTCAGGTACTGATTCAAATGATTCATGTGAAGAAGCAATTCGTAAAGCTAAAGAATATATTAAGAACAGTGGAAAACATCATCATGTGGCTCAAGGAATGTCCGTTTCTTTATCATCATTATCAATGAAAGAACCATTAAATCCACATAATGATCCATTAGTAACATCAAATTTTAATTTTGAAGGTTCAGTACAACGTAAATGTCTTTTAAAAAATTATAAAAAACCAACAATTACAAAATGGAAAAAATATTGGGTTGCAATATGTGAACATTTACTTTTTTTTCATAAGCAAAAACCATTTATTATGACATTACATATGCGTTTACATCGTACAAATCGACAAACATCAATCAATAGTGATAATGATAATATATCTTCGACACAATCTGCGCCACCAGTGATAAATACATCATCAACGCGAACATTGATTGAATCTGAAAGATTATTTTATCGACAAAATCCAACAAAATGTCAATCAATATCCGATTGGCTTATTGTACTTAGTCAAACAAGAAATCGTAATGAAATTCAATTAAGTGATTTAAATCGAGGTTTGATTAAATTTTTATTTTATTGGAGAAAATAAAAATAACGAACGTTTTTCTTGAAAATTTAGGATCAATGTATAAATTTAAATTTGAAAATGCAGCTGTAGCAAATATATGGTTTCATCGTTTGAAAGAAGCGTCAACATTTAAACTCAATAATGGGCGACGGTCAGAAAATTTAATTGCATTAGATTAATATTTCAAAACAAAACAAATGTATCATTTGTTTTGATTCTTGTTACAAATATTTTGAGAATTAATCATCATTATCACTAGTCACGAATGTACGTGCGATTATTTGTTATTGAAAAACAAGACAAAAAAAATAAAATAAATACTACGAAGCTTCCTGTTCCTCTTTTTTTTACTTATATTTCTTATTTTGTGTGTACGGTAGATCTTTTAGTTTAGTATGTCAACTTGTTCTCTTTTTTGTTCCTTTTTTTTCTATGTATATTGTTGTGTGTGTTTGTCGAAAATATGTTTTCTTTTCGTGTGGAAATTTTGATATATTGAAACAAAAAATAATAAATGGCGCAGTAAAACTGTCAGCGCATCTTATGCCTTAGAAATTTTGTTAAGATAAAAGGAAATAATGCTAGACATTTTGAAAATAAAAATGACATGTAAATTATGATGTAATCTCATTTGATTAATAAATGAAATCAAATGTATTTTGAACTAATTGAATATGAAAAAAATATAGAATTGATTTATTTCAGATAAACTTCATATTCAATGAATCAATCACGATCACACGATAGAAATCGATCACGGAGGCGAAGTAATAATAAAGTACCAGCAGGGTAAAAAAAACTATTCATTATAAACAAAAATAGAATTGTGTTTTGTTTTGGTATACATTTAGTTGGCTTGATTATACTCCATTGAATACATGGATTGAAAATACTCGTATTATTCCATTTAAATGTCCTTTGAGAAGGGTCAAGTATAATATAATCTCTCGCGAATAAAATCGAATAGGAATATTTAAATAACTTTAGTCGATCTTACGACATGTCGATGAGCAAGAACGTTTTTCCTTGGATGATTTAGTTGAACGTTTAGAAAAGCAAGGACGAACGATTGGTTTAATTATTGATTTAACTGATACTGATCGATATTATGATTATCGAGTAAGATTTATCAAAATATCAATAACTCAGTTATATTTTTAATCTGTATTAAAAATTAGGATGTTGAAGATATGAATATTGAATATTGTAAAATTCGTGTACCAGGTCATCAAAATGTACCTGAAAAATGTTGTCAACAATTTTTTCGTGTTGTTAATTCGTTCTTACATGACAATCAACATAATGGTAACTAATTGATCTTTGAAACTATTCATAGCTTATTTTTTTCTTCTTATAGACAAACTTATAGGTATCCATTGTACACATGGAATAAATCGAAGTGGTTATTTTATTGTCAGGTATAATCCTTGATTTTTATTATATATTTTCATAATAATATATGTTTAGATATTTAATTGAAATACTTGGCTTACAACCAAATGATGCTATTGCCGGTATGTTTTTATTCTTAAAGAAAAGAAAACAGAGACAATTGAATATAATTTATATTTCAGCATTTAATCGCGCACGTGGACATCAAATTGAAAAATACATCGATGATCTTCAAACAAGAATACCAGTGAAGTAAATATTTGTTTTTAATTATAAGTTTCGATTATTTATTTTTCTTTTACTATATAGTATTGCTTATTCATCTTTGTCTGATCAAGAAGAGCATAATTATTATCTAGAAAAAGATCGACCATTACCATATACTAGGCCAACAACAGATACAACATCTAATGATTTCTTGTCAGAAACATCAGAATTGATTGTATAGTTATTGTTTTACAATTTTCGATATACGATGTCTATCGTTATATTTTGTTAAATAATCTTGATCATTGTTATAATTTGTCTAGTTTTTGTGACATCGATCAAATCGAAAATAAATAAAAAAAAATAACCATCAAATAGATAAAAATCTACAGACAGTTTCTTTTTCTTTTCGTATTCGATATCTATAACATCATCAAAAAAAGAAATTAGATATATTATCAAATGATATTATTCATGACATTATTCTTCATGAAACTAATGTTTTAGGTTGTATATATACAATAATAATCAAACATATTGATTAGATAATATAGTTTTAATGAAACGGACATATCGATATTATAAGTAAAAGAAAATAAAAATAATGCATCCATTTATCTGAAGTACACTTAAAATTTGTGAAGATTCTTGAACATTTATTGTGCAGAACAATATGTGTTAAAGATAATTGCTTGACTCTCTGTTTTTTACTGTAGACGATATTATATAGGATTTACATACATGCAGACAGACAGTTACGTATAAGAATATTTGAAAGATTTCGAACATGTACAGACGTCAATAGTAGTTTCTAGACCTAGAAATATCTATGGCGCGTAGAAAACATATTAGTATCGGCATGCGATAACTAATCTTGTATCAATATTAATGATACAGTTTAGTAGCATTATTATGACACACGAAAATAAGGACAATAACAACAATGTCCTTAAAGTTATACAAAGTACCTATCACTAATACTAAGAAGAGTTCATGTATTACAACTAAGTTGTTGAAGAAATAATTAAATTAAGCGTATTTTAATGAATAGACAAGACATGTAAATTAGCCGTATGCTAAGAGAAAACGTTCTGATTAGTATTCATCTTAATCTCGATGCACGTCAATTTAAGTAATTCAATACAGACGAATGACATGTCCATACGCTCTTAACTAACTGACATACAGAGATCGATTGAAATTATGGAATTGAATACATACTTCATACGAATCTTGAACATTGTTTGAAGATTCTTAATACTTCGAAAAACTTTCAACTAACTTATACTATAGGCAATAAACTATTCTAAATAAGAAGAATGTTGTTTCAAGTTCTAAAAAAGTAATCGATTTCACCGAAATATTTTATTATTTCAGAGAACTTTGTACTCTATATACTAAGTCTTCAAGTGATGGGTCACGACTGAAATATTTCTTGAACATTGTCACTAGTAGCGTAACCAGGAATTTAAGAATGATGGGGCTCCGCTCCAAAACTGTCTAGTCTTTTGAATTTTTTGATTGACAAGTTCAGTAAACAAAATTTCGGGTGACGGGGCTTAAACACTCGGTGATGGTGTTAAGCCCCATCTGGCCCTCGTCTGGTTATGTCACTAGTTGTCACTTCATTCGTAAAATTCTCAATTATATTGAACAACTCAGCAAGATGCCACACTTCATCAAAATTTTAAATTAACAATGTAGATGTCACCCAGTATCAATCTATTAAACAATTCCTATGTACTATTCCTTTGTTTATATAAATCTATCGAGTTTGAAAAACTTCTAAATCAAAACTTTTCAATCTTTATTTAATAATCATATTAATAGAAATGAATTAATTCGCTATAATCAATGTTTTTATTGAATCGATATTAGCGACAATGAGTCAATCAACTTTTCGATGTTTTTCATTTGTCACGAATATGCAAATCATTGTCGGAGAAATGCAACTGTATATAAGAATGATTTAAATAAACGAAAGTATCTTTTCTTTAGATAATATTTCCGTCCCATTTCATTTTCTTAATCAAACTTTCATATAAAAAAAGAGAATGGCTGAGTATCTTGCGTCAATTTTTGGTACGGAAAAAGATAAGTATGTATATGATTTGTTTAAAAATTATTTTATATAATTCTATTATATCTTTAGAGTAAACTGTTCATTCTATTTTAAAATTGGAGCATGTCGTCACGGAGAACGGTAAGGTTGAATAGTTCTTTGTTAAATAAATGTAAACTTAAATTTATTTAGATGTTCACGTGTTCATAATAAACCAACCTTTAGTCAGGTATGAAAAAAGATAAAACTATATTTTGTAAAATAAAAATTTTCGTTTTCAGACAATTCTTTTAAAAAACCTTTATCTCAATCCAAATAATAATGCTATTCCAAAACCAGAAGGTGGTTTTGGTAAATATGAAATGAATTTTTATTATAAATATATTAAATATTAATATTCTAGTTCAAGAATATGATGGAACTACTTATACAGATCAACAAGTTCAACAACATTTTGAGTATAGAACTATTTTAAATTCTTTTTTATTAATAACTAAACTATGATTATTCTAGTGAATTTTATGAAGAAGTTTATACTGAAGTTGAAGAAAAGGTAAGTTGTTTTATCGATAAACTAAATTCCACATTTAAACACCTTCCATCAGATTTTCAAAAAAAAACCCAACTAATCTTTTCTGCTTTTTTTTAAATACTCGTCTATCTTCCTAAGATTCTATCGATTATTGCAGGCTTAAATCAACAGCATTCTCATCTTGTGTTATATATATATCCAATGGAAAAAAAGATAATAACACGTACAATATCTATATAAATAATATATTTCTCTCATATTTACAGTCCTAAATTTCTTTTCTATTGATCAAACAGCTGTACATATATATAAAGAAAGAAAGAAAAGGTAGATTGATAAATAACTATATATAAAAAAAACAATGCAATGTTTTCATTATAAACTTATAAATAAATTTCATGTGTTTACAGGTTTTTTAGGGCTAATGTGCTTTTCCCCTATTTTAATTGATTCTTTTCATTTATCGTGAATACGATTTTAGTATGGAGAAATTGAAGCAATGACTGTTTGTGACAATCTTGGTGAACATCTTGTTGGAAATATTTATATTAAAGTAAAAAAAAAATAATATATTAGAAACGAAGAAGAATCTTTTGTTCTTCTTTTAGTTTCGTTATGAACGAGATGCTGAACGAGCTGTTACTGATCTTAATACACGATGGTTTGATCGAAAACCTATTTATGCTGAATTAAGGTATGAAAATTTATAATAAAGATTAATTCGAAAATATTTTTTTATTTAGTCCGGTAACTGATTTTAAAGAAGCTAGTTGTCGACAGTATGAATTAGGAGAAGTAAAGATCTTGTTTGTTATATGATTCATTTTAATTAAATTTCCTTGTTTTGTTTTTAGTGTATGCGTAGTGGTTTTTGTAATTTTATGCACATCAAAACTTTATCACCTGAATATAAAAAACGTCTTCGTGAACGTCGAAAACGGTTTGTTTTATTAAAAATATAAAAATGATGATGATTGATTAATTTTTTTCTTATTAAATTTAGATCACGTTCACAAAGTCGTTCCCCATCACGACGTAATCGTCGTCATTAGATGAACAGAACAAAAAGAAAGAATGAGAAGTGCCTTGATAGAATTCTATTGTGCATGATAGTGTCTTGTTTCTTCGATCCTTTGTGTTATTATAACAAAAAATGTTAACTGTTTGTTTTGTATATAAATAAAATAAACGAGGAAATAAGATGAAACTTCTTCAAAATATTTTTCATTCTTTATTTTTATTACGATATCTTTTATTTTATTAGATAATCTATGGCAAATCAAACTAATACGGAAATTCATCAAATTGGTTCTCCAAAAGAATTTGATGAATATATAAATCTTCCAACAATAATCAATAAATTATTATTGGTTCATATTGAATTGGAACAAATTCCAGTTTGTAAGACGCTCAATGAAGCATTATTACCAATTACTCGTGATCCTGAATTTATGCAACAATTAGTTATATGTCGTTTAAATGCTGATCATTTTTATGATCTTCTTAATGCTCATAATGTTAATGCAGCACCAACAATACTTTTTTTCCATCGAACAAAAGTTATTGATCGTGTTGATGGTTTTAATCAAAGTGATGTATTAAAAAAAATAAAATTCCATATAAATACAATTGGTGTTGTTCAATCAACAGAAATAAAATCTGAACATGATTCACCATCAATTCAAGTTGAAAATAAAATTAAACAATTACTTGATTCATCATCAATTATTTTATTCATGAAAGGTACACCAGCAAGTCCACAATGTGGTTTTAGTCGACAAGCATGTCATTTACTTGATGAACATAAAATCAAATATGATTATTTCGATGTACTTGCTGATCAAAATGTACGTGAACAATTAAAGAAATATTCAAATTGGACTACATATCCACAAGTAATTTAATAAAAAACGTTTTTTTGGAATAAAAACTTCTATTTTTTGTTTTTAGTTATATGTTGGTGGAGAATTAATTGGTGGATTAGATATAATGAAACAAATGATTGAAAATGGAGATTTTGAATTAAAATTAAAACAACAAAAATCAAATGATCAAGAAAAAGATACAAATAAACATTTAGAAAGTTTAATTAATCAAGCACCACTCATGCTTTTTATTAAAGGTACACCAGAAGCACCACGATGTGGTTTTACAAAAGAATTACTTGCTTTATTATCGAAAGCTAACATAACTAATTATAAAACATTCGATATATTACAAGACGACAATGTTCGACAAAAATTAAAAGATTATTCATCATGGCAAACGTATCCACAAGTATATGTTAATGGACAATTTATTGGTGGTTTAGATGTACTTAAACAAATGAATGAAGAGGGAATATTAGCACAAACATTAACTGAAAAACAAGGAGTAGCTGTTTAAAAAAGATTTTTCCAATTAGATGACTAACATACGAATGTAAAAGATTTGTTTTTTATTTTAAAATTCCAAAATAAACGATAGTTGACGATAAAGAAAGATTATTTACAGTTCCATACATTTCTTCATATGTTTTTCAGATCAAATCTACTTAAACGAATATATAATGTCGGACAACTGGTGAGATTTCTTGCTATTGTGTGTATTTTTAAAAAAAAGAGAGTTGATCTTAATTTTGAAATGATTTTTAACAAGAATCAATGTGTAGAGATTTTCGATCGAATGAAATTTGAATATATTGTCGATCATAATAAAGAATTTTCGAAATCTTTATTATATATTTTAGGCTTCAAAACTATGAAAGCTGTAAAAATTATGCCCAAGAAATTCATCAAAAAATAAATGAATTTAAAAAATTACCTAATGGTAGTTCACAACGAGCTAAAGTAAATATTCTAACCGTTTCCTATAATAATTCATAGAAAACTTCGATTATTTTTTCCTTCAAAGGTTTCATCAACAATTCGTACAATGACAACAGAATTTAATAAAGATGTTGATAAACTATCCAATGATTTAACAACTCAATCTCGCAATGGCAATATGTATAGAATTCCTGAATATTTCCATATCTGTTTTTTGAGTATTAAATTTTTTTATTGTATAGAACAACAGGAGAAGCAAATCGTCGACGAACATTAGTTGATAAAATAAAACAATCGAAAGAAGAAATTGATACAGCTATGAAAGAAAATTTTACTCCACATTCGTAAATTATTTTTTTAATATTTAATCATTAGAACATATTGATAATTTCTATTTATTAGATCACGTGATCGAGCTGATCCACGTTTTGCAGCTGCTGTAGAAAATGAACATACTCAAGGTTTAACCAATGAAGAATTTGCTGGACTTCGTTCAAATTTACGAAAAAGTAATTTACATTAATCTACTTTCTTCGATAATTCAATAGAGAGATTATCCTTTTCTAGAAGAGAAATCATAATTCCATCTAGAAATATTATTTATAAATAACTAGTTGTAGTTAGCCACGCTTTATTACTGTTATAATGGGATCGTCATATGCTTTTGCATGACACTTTTGAGTAATATTTTACACCATTACGGATTATCAATTTTTTCTTGTTTATGATAGAACGAAAACCATCAGTCTGATTCATCTCTGACTACGGTATTTTTAATCAATAGTGAATAGAAGTGCTATTAATTCATGCCGACAGATATCTTATTGAAAATATTCTCATTATAATAGATCGATTTTATTGCATTCAGACAATTCATAGATTAGTCTGACCCAAAGGATCTACGAGTGACTCTCTTAATCTAATTTATGAAATAATATTTTTCTTTATAGATAATGATGAAGCAATTGAAGCTTTACATGCAATAGTCAAACGTCAAAAAGAAATCGGTGTTGCTATGAATACTGAAGTTGATCGACATAATGAAATAATTGATACAATAACAGATCGAACAGGATTATTAGATTCGAATGTTAAACGTCAAACAATGTTAGTAAAAACAATTCAAAAAAAATCTTCAGCATTATGGTTATGGGTTATAATTATTCTTCTTTTTGTGTCTATTATTGTTATAGTCGCTATTCCATTTAAAAAATAATCTGAACATTTTTTTTCTCTTCTTCTTTTTTTTTTATTCATTATATGTAATCTATGCTATTTTTTTTTATTTAAAAAACAATCAATTGATGATTTAAATATTTTGATTTCTTCATAACTTGCAATCTGTTTTATTTTCTAGAATGATTCCATCACTTGTTAATCTTGCAGCTCATGTATTAGGAAAACATTTTCTATCAATTGAAAGTTTACGTTATATACCAGATGAATTAGTTGAAATTATATTTGATGGATATTTAAAAACATTATCATCAATATCAGTTATTAATGAAAATGATCTTATACGAATAGTTCAAATATTAACAAATTATCATGCAGATTTATTTTGTACAAGTTTTTGTTATTCAATAACAAATCATTTAAATTTATTAACAACAAATTTTTATTTTCATTTATTTCAACGTGTACATTCAAATATAATTGAACTTGATTTTTCAAATGCATTCGAAAAATATACGCATGAAGAAAAAGGAAAATTTCTAAATATTATTGGACAAATGGAAAATATTGAATATTTAAGATTAACTCATAATCAATTAGATGATGAAGATATTCGATTATTAACAGCTAATAATCGAATACAAAGTACAGCTTTATGTAATTTACATCATTTACATTTACAAGGTAGGATTAATGATAATATAAAACACAAAAATAATCACTAGATTTTAATATATACGATCAGTCTTTCTTCTTTTTAAACTTAACAATCGAATTTAAGGGGGAAAAGCGGTTTCTCGTAACCGTTAGGAACCAGGAGTTGTTTTTCTCCCCTTGATAAATCTAGCTTTAATTACTTTTAGAGATGCAACGGCGACGATCCTTAATCGCTATATCGGCGAACCGTTGAAACGATAACCGCTTAAACTGATATTTATCAATATTCACAGTTTTAAGCGACTCCTTCGATTGAAAAAACACTATAATTAAGTATTAAAGTTCAAAGTAACGCATTTCGACGTCTTATCCGAAGACAAACAACATTGAAATAGATATATTAAGCCGGTGAGTGTGAGTGTCATACACATCACAACGCAATATCCACTCAGCCGTAGCTATCGACCCATACCGGTTTTCGTTTCATCGGTCAAAACGGTTATCATCACTTTTACATCCCTGATTACTTTTCTTTGTAAATCATAATGTATTAAAAGTTAAACTTATTCTTCTCAGATTGTATTACAACATTTAGTACACAATATTGGTATTATTTTCCTGTTTTATTATATTTCCACTCATGTTATTAGATAGCAAACAATTTATATATATTTTCTAGGAAATAATCTAACACATCGTTCGGCTCGATTTCTCAAAGCATTAACGGCACTTGATACTCTCTCTATCTCGTTATTTTCTGTTCATGTAAAAGAATATCAATATTGTCTAAACAAATATTTAATTATCGTTTTTTCCTCTATCATTAGAAAAAATCATTATTTATTAAAGAATTCGAAAATCTTTATGAATGTACTTGTTCAATACAACATAACGGAGAAGAAATAATTAATCGTGGATGGATTGCAAAAATTTCTCAGTTACAAGCCTCAACAACAGCCAATGATAATAGTTTTTGTATGAATTTATTTATTTTGAATTATTTTTATAATAGATATGTATTTATTCAGATCGAAAACGTCGTCGTGTAGATAATGATATTACAGTACCAATAATAAAACTTGTTCGATATTGTTCAACATGTCAACCAATTCTTTCATTGAAATCAATTAAAAAACAGGAGAAAACTAATTCTAATCCTATAGGATATATAGATTCGACACAAGCAAATGATCTCTTATCATGTTACTTATAAAATTCTTTCATTTTTCAGATAAAATCAAAAAAAAATGTATTCATCTAAAGTTTCTTCCTTAACTCGTCTTAATCAATCTACACATCTATTTCGTCGATCATTTTTTAATCAAACATATATTAATGGTCAATGGGTTTCATCACAATCAGGTGAAACATTTAAAGTTTATAATCCATCAAATGGTAAAGAAATTGGTAGTGTACCAAATTGTAATAATCAAGATGCTGATAAAGCTATTCAAGCAGCTTATGATACATTTCATAATAAATGGTCGATTAAAACAGGAAAAGAACGAAGTGTTATAATGAGAAAATTTAATGATTTAATTTTAAAAAATAAAGATCATTTAGCAAAGATTTTAACAACTGAAATGGTAAATTGATTTGAATATGAATCTCTATATAACTGTTTTAATAGGGTAAACCAGTAAAAGAAGCAGCTGGAGAAATAGTCTATGGTGCAAGGTAAAAGAAAACAAAAATATTAGTTGTTTTATATTTCATGTACATTTTAAGTTATATTGAATGGTTTGCTGAAGAAGCTAAACGTATTCATGGTGATGTTCTTCCATCAGCTACAGTAAATCGTCGTTCATTTGTTATTCGTCAACCTGTTGGTGTTTGTGGTTTTATAACACCATGGAATTTTCCAAGTTCAATGATATTACGTAAAGCTGGTCCAGCACTTGCTGCTGGTTGTACAATTGTTATTAAACCTGCTGAAGATACACCTTATTCATGTTTAGCTCTTTGCGATGTAAATAAATACAACAAAATTCTTCAAATAAATATGTAATTATTTTTAGTTAGCAAAAGAAGCAGGATTTCCTGACGGTACAATTAATGTTTTAACAAGTACTCGTTCAGCGGAAATCGGTAAATTCCTATGTGAACATCCATTAATTTCAAAAATGTCATTTACTGGATCAAGTAAAGTTTAAATAATTCGATTTTCATATTTAATAATTTCTTTTTTGTTTTATTAAAATTTAGCCGAAGTTGGTAAAAAAATTATGGCTATGTGTGCATCAACTGTAAAAAAGATATCATTAGAACTTGGTGGTAATGCACCATTTTTAGTTTTTAATTCAGCAGATGTTAAACAAGCTGTACAAGGAGCTATGGCATCGAAATTTCGAGCTTCAGGACAAACATGTGTATGTGCAAATCGAATTCTTGTACAAGATGTAAGTAGTTAGATATTCTATTGAAAAAATATAAAGTTTTATTTTTTTAAGGGAATTTATGATGAATTTATTGCTGAATTTACAAAAAAAGCAAAAGAACAAACAGTTGGTGATGGTTTGGATGAGAAAACAATTTTAGGACCTGTTATTAATCAAGATCAATATGAAAGAATAATTGATTTTGTTGCCGATGCAAGAGATAAAGGCGCAAAGATTATTACTGGTTAGAATAAAACTATTTTTAAAATCAGACTTAATCAGCTTTTTATTTGAATAGGTGGAAAAGAAAAAAAAGGAAAAAATTCAGGATTTTTTATTGAACCAACTATTATTGCAGATGTAAAATTATCGATGCGAGTAGCACAAGAAGAAATATTTGGACCAGTAGCCTCAATTATTAAGTAATATAATAATATTTCAAATAAAATATATACATGTATTCATTTTTATAGATTCAAAACTGAAGAGGAAGCTATTAAAATTGCTAATTCAGTTGATGTTGGCTTAGCTGGTATAGAAAAATCGCTTTTTTCTCTCTCAAGATTTAATAAGAAATGTCTTGTTTGTTTTTAGCTTATTTATATAGTCAAGATTTGTCTCAAGTTTGGCGTGTTGCTGAACGACTTCAAACTGGTATGGTTGGTATCAACGAAGGATTAATTTCATCTGTCGAAGCACCATTTGGTAAATCTTATATTTATTTCTATTTTTTTTTTTGATTATATTTTTAATTGAAGGTGGAGTTAAACAAAGTGGTTTCGGACGAGAAGGTTCAAAATATGGAATGGAAGATTATGTTAATATGAAATATATTTGCATGGGCAATTTAAAAGATGTTGATCGTACTTCATAATAATTACGTAATTTATTCAAGCTATTATTATATTATTCGTTACATGTCGTCTTTCTCTCTTCTATATAAAATATGTTCGTATGAGTGATGATTCAATCATCGAACTTTCTTTTTTTTTTTTCATTCCATATTGACGCGGAAATACAATTTTGTGTTTCTACTTTTAAAAATATTTAAAAATATATTCGTTAGATTTAAAAATAAATTATTTTATCATTTAATTGTTTCTTTTCTTTTTTTAATAAAGTCAGAAAGTTCCTTTTTTTTCGTTCTACTATTGAATATAAATATATAGATGAATAATCGTATTATAGTTTTCATGAAATATCCGGACTAATGAAAAGAAAGAGAAAAGTAGTGTATCCCTATACGTTCTATCGAAATGTATATTTCAAATAGAAATAAACATTTTATTATTCATCTATATCGATTCCTGTTTTCTCTTTCACACATTCTCCATCCTTTGTTTATCATTCTCATTCAAAACGACGACGACAATCGTATCGTCTTATTTCTATCTGTTGATCTTACTGACCACCTTGCGTCATCCACCTTAATATCAAAATTAAAATGATAAGACAAACAAAATTAAATTATTTACTTCAAATTAATAATTTACAGAAGGACAATTGTAATCCATACACATTTGCACGTGGCTTTGAAGATTTTGTAGTATCATGGCCACCTTCAACTAATAACACAACGAGCATTAATGATGACAAGTAAAATCCAAAAAAGAGAAGAATTTTTTTTTTGTATTCCAATAAAATGATGCTCAAAATAGAAATGTGCATGTGTATATTTATTTATATTTGATATGATATTTCATTGTGTATTTAAATCTTTTTTTTCTTCTTTTCTATTTGTGTAACTGTCTGATGTGTTCAACAGTATGCTGTGTACGTGTGTGATATGTTAAAAATGAAAAACAAAAAAAAAAACAAACAAACGTTTTCTGTTGTATGCAAACGCGTCAGATCGTATCGATCACATAGACACATCATTATGAAGAACATTGATGGTATTATTTTTTTTTCAATTTTTTTTGTGTTATTTAACAGATCTTTGTGTGCAATGATTAAGTATATAAGATTTTTCTTTTTCTACTGCTCTTTTTTTTCTAGTCTTTTCTATAACAATAAACAAAACATAAATTCTTTTGAACGAAATAAAAAATCAAAATGAATAAAAATCATTGAAAAAAAACATTTTTCTTTAATAACGTAAACAAGATTTAGTAGAGAATATAATTATTATCTTTTCAGATTTACAATTTAAAACATGTCGGATTTACCACCAGGTTGGGTTAAAAAGGTTTCAAGTCGCACTGGTATGTGAATATTTTTTATATGATGATAATACAAAAACAAAATCTATTTAGGTAAAGAATATTATATTGATCCAGTTACAAGAGAAAGTCAATGGGAACATCCAAGTTCTACAAGTAATAAACCATCAGGTGGACGAAAATCAGGAAATGGTGATCAAGTACAAGTACTCCATATTCTTGTTAAACATACAGGTTCACGTAATCCAAAGAATTATAAAGGTGAAACAATTACACGTAGTAAAGAAGAAGCACAAAGAAAACTTGATGGTTTGTATTTCTTTTTTTTGTTTAACGAATATTAATTGAATCTATATATTAATAGACATTATCAATGAATTAAATAATGCCAGTGATCTTGAATCAACATTTCGTCGTATTGCAAAAGATAAAAGTGATTGTAGTTCAGGTCAACGTGGAGGTGATCTTGGTATGTTTGGACATGGCGCAATGCAAAAAGCATTTGAAGAAGCTTCATTTGCTTTAAATATCGATGAAATGAGTCCAGTCGTCGATTCAGATTCTGGTCTTCATGTTATTCTACGCATTGCTTAAAATAAAACTGTTTCTTTTCTTCTTTTTTGTATTCCATTGAAACATTATTTTAACTCAAAATATATTTGCTCATGTTTGTCTCTAATATAAAAACATTATTGATCGAAATAATCAGTTAGAGAAAGTTCTAGGACATTCTTATTTTTTATTTTCACATCATAATCTATCGACTGGAATGTCTGATCTGTTGTTTATTCAAACATAGTTTCTGATTGTATAGAATGGCAAACGTCAAATAATCGTTTAAATCGACTATATGACAAAATGCAAGTTGCTAACAAATGATTTCATTTTGTTTATTATAGGATACTCATTTTTTTTCATCTGTTCTACATATATATTTTATGACAAAACAAAAAAATCGACAACGGAATAATCTATCAACATTAATAGCAATAACTGTAATTAAATAAGACAAAAAGAAAGTTGTTTTCGACATATGATAGTAAGTTACGTGACGACAGCCAATGTCGAGATACTAAAATAAGAAAAACAATATTATCTGAGAGTGTAAATCATTGTTATTACGAATATTTGTTGTTAGATATTATTCTATTCTTAACCCTAATATTTCTTTGCCGCGTTTATACAAGTAATATATCAACCCACAGAAAGGAAAAAAAAATGTGATATATACCATCAGCAGAACCATACCCATTTATTTTTAATAATAAACAAACGATAAATAGGAGAAAACATGTTGTCGTCTCAAGTTCTTCCAATTCAGCGTACAACTAATACTTCAACACCTAATTGTAATAATCCGAATGATACTTGGTTTGATCCATTTAATTTTGCACCTGGTCAAGATCAAAATATTCGATGGCTTAATCGTCCAAATCAACAACTTTTACATGCAAAATATTCTCATGATTTCGAAAAATTTCATATTAAATTCGATGCTGAAAATTTTCAACCAGATCAAATTAAAGTATAGCTCTATAAATACACAAAAAAGAAAGTTTTCATTCATGTATTATTTTATTTTGCATAGATTTATATTCAAAATCATCAATTAACGATCACAGGTGTTTATGAAGAACATAGTGAAGGTCGTCATATGCAAAAACAATTTGAAAAATCATTTGATATACCACATAATGCCGATGTTGAACTTATGGCATGTTATATAACACCTGCTCATATGTTAGTTGCTGATATTCCTCTTAATCAAAATTTTCATGAACAATTAGCACAAACTGATTATTTAAAAGTCAATAATAATATGAATGATAGTCGTCGATTATCATTTTCATTAAATAAATTCAATACATTAAATGAGCAAGGTTTATTATCATCATCATCATCGCCAAATAATTTATCACCTTTACCACCATCAGGTCAACAAGTTAGACGTACATCAATTACAAAGACCACAACAACAACAACTGGAACAACAGGTTTACCACCAGAAGCAACCGAATTACTTCGTAGTGCGCAAACAACAAATGGTGGTACACATTCATATAGTACACATGTAACTGAACGTCGTGGATCAAATATAAATAATCAACAGATACATATAAATGAACCTAGTCCATCAACAATAACAAAAGCAGATAATCAAACAACATCAAGTTCAATATTAACAAGTGCGGGTAAGAACTAACATAATTCTATTTTGTATTGTACTATAAAGAAATATATATGTCTAATAGATTTAGCAAATTTACCAATTGAAATTCCACCAGAACTTTTAGCTACAGGTGGTACAATAACAATTCAAAAACGAAGAGTTTCCGTTATAAAAACAGTTGAGCCAGCTACACATTCAACATTATCTACAACTACAAATACTATAACAGAATCACAACAATCGACTACTAGTAGTGACCGACATCATTCGAAAGTATTTGAATGAATATTTTAGATTAGATTTATTCGTATATTTTTATTTTAGTCTACTGGACCTGGTAATCGTCGACGTACACTTACACTTGAAGAATTTCTTCAAAATAGAACTTGGAATCCAACCATTATTGATGGTTCACATGGAAAGAAAATACTTTCCATGTGTTTACAAATGAGACCAGGTACAACACCTGAATCTATAAGAGTTACACTTAATGGATATGATTTACGTATTGAACTCGATAATAAATTAGCAACAGATAGTGGTCGATTGATGAGTATGAATATTCTAATTAATATAATTATTTATTTATTTATTTTTAATCTTTAGATCAACATAGTTATCGTCAAATAACACTTTTTCATACATGCCAAGTTGAACAATTAACAACTGAACTTAAAGATGATGGTTTTCTTTATATTCATGTACCTATTAAATTGTAATAGTCGAATGAATTACATTTATGAAAAAGACCTTTTAGCATTTCTTACATATAATCATGCCATAATACTATTTAACCTAAATTAAATATTTTATTATCTTACAAATAATATATATATTTTAATAAAAAAAAAATATTTAGAGCTCTAATTCATTTACTTAAAATTATTTATGTGAAAGCCAGTCAATATTGTGATATTACCTGTCTAAAAGATATATTTATAGGCGTCATATAGCTATTAGTTATCTTATACAGCTTGTCATCGTATTCTGACATTATGATTATGAGTGTTTTGGAAATGGATGTGTTTGTATAATCAATTTAGTTAAATGTTTTGATGATCTTTAACGGAATATTTATAGTTAAAACAAAAAATGTCATAATCTCAAGTTAAGCCGATAGATTGTTGTAATTAGAAATATTTTTTTTATTTAGAAATTCGAAAATATAGAGATAAGATAAAAAATTTATTGATATTTTTTTTCTTTCATCACTTTCTATCTTTCCTGCATCGATAGATGATATTATATTACGATTTTGAATACTTTATACTATGTAATATTGAAAATTATGAAGTATTTTTTCTTCTAATTCATTGATTTAATATAAGAAAATCAATTTGTACAGTTCCAACTGGAATGCCATCTTTCGGACTTTCCAAATTTCCATTGGTTAATGACACACGTATTAAAAAAAAAGAAAATCTAATAGCCTCTTCTCTATGCATGTATACGGATGAATGTTGATATAACTGATTGATTTAGTATAACAAATAGGCTCGCTGACCCGTATACAGATGCATAAAATTGCTTGTGAATTGATTAACAATGTTTTTTTCTTCAATACAGATTTCTATTCTCACTCATGAATTTGTCTGTTCATCGTTTAATACCTACTATATCGACATGTTCATCGTTCTTTATACGACGTCGTCTTGCTCATTTTACTTTTTTCAAAGATCAACCTGACCCAGCTCATGGTCAGTCAGTCATATTTTTATTTTCTTCTCAAAACATAACACAAAAAAAAAATCTAATCTACATATTTTCAAGGTCCAACAAAAGAAATGAATCTATGTCAAACAATTCAAAATGCACTTGATATTACACTTAAAAATGATCATACAGCTAGTATATATCATGTGTTTTCTTCTGATTATTGTATAAATAAATAATTGCTATTTCAGTTATATTTGGTGAAGATGTAGCCTTCGGTGGTGTTTTCCGATGTACAGCAGAATTGAGACCAAAATATGGTAAGATAAAACATGTCATGGTTTGTTTTTGTTTATATATATATGATTAAATTCATTGTATTTTAGGTGCTGATCGTGTATTTAATACACCATTATGTGAACAAGGTATAGTTGGTTTTGGAATAGGTGCAGCAGTTGCTGGAGCAACATCCATTGCTGAAATACAATTTGCTGATTATATCTTTCCAGCATATGATCAAGTATAAATAAATCATAATCATAACAGTATTAGATTTTTCTATACCAAGTGTTATTTAGATTGTAAATGAAGCAGCTAAATATCGATATCGTTCGCAGAATCTATTTAATTGCGGTCGTCTTACTATACGTGCACCATGGGGTGCCGTTGGACATGGTGCGCTCTACCATTCACAATCACCTGAAGCACAATTTATGCATACACCTGGTATAAAAGTATGTTTTTCTACAACACACATAGACATACATATATATATATATGTATTTATATAGGTTGTTATTCCACGTAGTGCCATTCAAGCTAAAGGATTACTTTTATCATGTATTAAAGATGATAATCCATGTATATTTTTTGAGCCAAAAATTCTTTATCGATCTGCTAAAGAAGATGTACCACTTAATGAATATACAATTCCATTATCTAAAGCTCAAATTATAACTGAAGGTATGTTTTCAATATTACCAAAATATTTAATTTTTTTTATTGAAAATTTAGGTAGTGATATTACACTTGTTTCATGGGGAACACAAGTACATGTGATTCGTGAAGTAGCACAAATGGCAGCGAAAGAAAATATATCTTGTGAAGTAATTGATTTACGAACAATTGTACCATGGGATGTTGATACAATATGTCAATCAGTTAGTAAAACAGGTAGATTATTAATAAGTCATGAAGCACCAATAACTGCTGGTGTTGGCGCTGAAATTGCTGCTACTGTTTCTGTATGTATTTTATTTGAAATAAATAAATCATTGAAAAATTTTTTTTTAGAAAGAATGTTTTTTAAATCTTGAAGCACCCATAGAACGTATCTGTGGTTATGATATTCATCCAATTCCTCATGTTTTTGAACCTTTTTACTTTCCATCGAAATGGCGTTGTTTAGAAGCTATCAAACGAATGATAAATTTCTAAACAGTAAAATACAGTTGTTATTGTTGTTTTTTCTATATATTATGATAATGAGTACGAGAAAAAGAAACATATATAAGCATTTATTTTAAATATATCTATATTTTTGTTTTCGACAACAAAAGAACAAGTTTATTCGAAAGTTTCTTTTCAATAAAATGATCTTTATTGATTTATATTTTAGATGATTTATTCAATTTTCTAAAATAATTTAATTAACAAATGTTACAGAATTTTTTGTACAAGTATGTTTTATTTGCTTTCCTAATTATTGTTTTGATTCGAAATTTCCTATTCATCGGGATATCTTTATTATCTGTTTTTATACGTGTCAATGATATTTAGTTTGACACATAAAACATTTAAATTCATTATTATGATATGTAATTTGGGAAAAAAATCTTTTTTAACCTTTATACATACCATCTCGTAAATGCTGCATGCCATCAGATAACTTCGAATAATATGAAATACTTCCTTATTAATCATACAACCTTATAAATACAAAATATGATCAAATAATGATATACTGTTTAAAAACTTCTTCCTTTCTATTTTATCTGTAACACCTATATACATAATATTATTTCAGTGCATATTGATAAGAATACAAGTAAAACTATTAATGTAAGTTAAGATATTCTATCTCATATTTGTACATTAAAATCTCGTTTCTCATCTAAATGGAAATAATAATTATTATTTTAAATATTATTCAATCTGAGATATATGTGTGTCTTATTACCAATGCAATATGTTTCGTCTTTTTGTTTCTTCTCATTTATCTAGTAATCAAAAAATCTTATCCGCTTTTTTGTGTTGTTTATGTGTTCTCAACCAAACAACAAAAAAACTGAAGACGAAGAAGAAAAAAAGGATGCTCCCTCCTACTATTCTTCATCTAGTTTTCCTTTTTCTTTATTATTCTTTTTCTATTCATTCTTGTTCGTTTTTTTTTGGTCTGATCTAAATGATGATAATATGCATTTTTTGACTGTCATTTATTCTTCTCTCTACTAATCATAACTAAATCCACGATAACAAGTCAATTTTAATTAGGTAAATTTATTATGTAATGGAATTTTTAATCATCTACCTTTAAGTACATATTTCTATTAGTTGTATCTTTAAGTCAAATAGACTTGATGAAGCCCGATATTATAAAGTGAGTCCATTAAGTACCCGACTAATTGTTGTAGTGAACATTTCTCTTTCTCATTCTACTCTATTTCATGACCCGACATATAAAAGGTGTTCTTTCGTTCTCTTTGACTAGGAATGATTGAAATAAAAAAAAGTAACAATGTCTCTTTGTTTTGCTTTTCTTTCTCTCTATTCAAATAGATTTTCTTCATAAAGTCAGTAAGATAGACATTTTTACTTCATCTCTTTCTCTTTCTTAGTACCACCCATTTACCGATGAGTATATATATATATATATATATGTGCATGTTTTTCTCCTTCTCTTGTGTAACACATGAGACCTACCCATTCAATTTCTTTATTCTTTTGCAATTTTTTTTTATTTCTTTCTATTCTCACTGTATGGAACATTGCAGTCAAGATGTGAGTGAGAATAAAATTACTATCTGTTGATCATTGAACACGCAATATATATTCACTCTATAATTCTTTTCTTGCATGTCATGCTTTTACTCCTATCTTTTTTCTCTCTCTCTTTCGCTCGATTTTCTTCTTTTTTTCATATATTCGATGAAGTTAAAATCTTATTGAGACGCTTTGTGAGATTAGCTTCATTCATTCATTTATTTCGATAACTATCTTTCTTCTTCATCTTCGTGATAAACAATAAAGAAATGAATCATGCTCATTTTTCTGCATACATGCATACATTCAAATGTATCATTTGAGTTTGTGCAAAAATGCAAATGCATTGGAATGTCAGGATTATTAACACTGTTAGATAGAGAGAAAAGAAATTGTGAGACGCGAAAAAGAAAATAGAATAGAATCTACGGACAAACACACAAAGCAAAGTAGGACTATAACTTATAATAAATTTTCTATAATCAAAATGAGTCTCGTTCACGTTATATTCTTTTCTTTTTCTCTATTATTATGTCTTATACACGTCTACACTTTTTTTTTCTCCTTGATTATTATTATTATAAACATCATTTCTCGTTGTCAATATTAATACACACGTTCGATGTTATTATTATTCTGTTTTCTTTCAAATTTAAACTTTTATTTTAATCTTTTCTTTCGTGTATATTTATTCATTTTCATGTCCTGTTGAGTATCAGTCAAAAAGTTAATTCGATCAATTTTCGCATATGGTTAAAGAAGAGTCAGACAAGATAAGATGTCGAAAATAATCAAAATCAACTTCATGTTTCTTCTTTTTCTTTCATTCATTTTTTTTACATCATAATCTAACATTATCCCAGAGGACTATGTGTTAAAGAAAGTAGTTCGTCATTTTCTTTTTAAGTATAATCTTTCAATACATTTTTTTTGTTTCTGCTTTATACTTTAGCCATTTTGTTACATATATATACATATATATGAATGAATAATTACAACTGAATAAATAACTGACGAAATGGAACATCAACATTATCAAACTAATAATGATGAGAACGATATTGATGATGAAAAATTTGCAACTAATAATGTAAATGAACTTGAAAACTCAACTGATAATGATACTGAAGAAGGTTCAGATATAAATGCATAAGAAACAAGAGGAAAAAGGAAATTGTTTTTTTTTGCTTCTATATTTTAGATAATCATGAGTTATCTATAACACCAATTCCAGAAATAATTAATGATGAAGATGATGAAAATATTAATACCATAAAATCTTCAAAATCACAAGTAAATACTTAACTTAAGATGGAAATATTGGAGGAAAAAAATGGGGAGAAGACAGATAATTAGCTTTTGTTTGTTTCGATAATAAAATTAATCAAATAAAAATAGAAACTATATTTTGAGAAAATTTTACGGTTAGTTGTCAAAGACTTCGCACTGTCATTTTTCTCTTTTTTTGCGTTTATTATTGGCTGTATTCATCAATTAGCGTCGATTCAATAAATATTCAGACACACATGCGCATGTCTTCACATCTGTCTATCTATCTATCTATTCTTTTTCTATTTATTGTCGCCTTCTGTCCAGTTCTTCGGATCAATATATTGTCCTTGCTATTTGGTACTAGTGTAAAAAAAAAAGAACGAAGAATGTATTTCTCATTGATAATAATAATAAGAAAAGAGAAATATTCTACTTCCGTTGTCAGTTGTATTTCTTGTCTAGTATAGCATAGCGATTGTTCAAAATATCGCTGGTCTTCTATGTTAATCGCATGTCATTCATTCACTCTCTCTCTCTCTTTCTGTCTCTCGCTCGCTCCCTCTTTCGTTGTCTTTTTTTTGTTCGTTCTCTCTTTCTTTTTTTGACGCCGACAGTGCTCTGTGTTCGATGATGATGACGACGAGAGTTCGGATCGTTTTTAGCATATAGATTGGTGAAAAGAATTCAACGTCTGATTGATCCATCTCTAACTTGTCGTTGTCTCTTTCTCTGGCACTTGTTACTCGCACTCGCGTTCAAATTTCCATTGCTTTCGTTGTCTTTTGCGAATATATTTTTCTCTTTCTTTTCCTTCATTTTTGCCATCCTTCATATTGACAGATGGAGAGGATAGTCCCGAAGCATAAGAACTAGAAGAAAAAAGGAGAACAAGAAGGAGGGGGAGGAAGAGGAAGAAGAAGATAGACAGACAGAGAGAAGACGAAGAACAGCTAGGAAGAAAAAGAAGAGATAGGCATAAATGAGAAATGAGATTGATAGAGCAAACGAACTATATGTTTTGGCATTGAGATAGCGCTCTAGTATTACTTGCTATCCATTCTTTTTTCCACTACAACGATAATAATACTAGTAGCGATATTCTAAGATCGAATGAGTCAATACGAATAAGATATGCCTTCCTTATCATCAACTAATTCTACATCGACTACGGTGGGGACGAAATCTCGTCGAAAACATCATCATCATCACCATCATCGTCATTCACAACGTCACGTGAGTGTTTTCTTGTTTAGTTTGATGCTTTCAAATAAAAATGTATCTCTCTCGAGAAACAAAAAAAAAAAGTTGCATGATTCGTCAAACTGAAAAAAATTGATCTAGATGTAATTGAAAATATGGATCGATTCCGTCTGCCTTCTAGCAACAACGAGAAGGGAAAGAAAGAACACAACAAGTGTATAGTCAACTCATCCTTCTAATTGCATGTGTTGATCGTTGTCGGCCCGTCGACCCAAGAGTGTTCTCTCACTTCACCAACCATCTTTTGTTATGACTAAACTAAGCGACTTCTTCTCTATGTAATTCTTATAATTGCTTCATTGCTTTTGTTTGCTTTTTTTTCGAGCAGACATTATTATAGTTTTTAAAGAACATGATAGACACATGCAAACACGTTTAGGTAAGATTTTCTGTTCTGCCAATAGTGCACAGGAAAATGTCATCAGTACCATTAATGATTCAAGGATAGTACTACTTTGGTACTCGTCAATGATAAGAAAAGAGAAAAAACAGATAAAAAGGAAAATATACTAGAGAAAAAAAATGTATTTGCTTCTGGACAAACACCTGTTTCCTTTCTATGTTATGCAGGTTGATGAAAATGCTCCACAACAACAATCATCACCATCATCATCTGTAATCGTTGCAACTCCAGACGATAATGGATCGTTATCGGCGACAACAACAGCAATAACAACAATGGAAACAACGAAAACGGACGATAGAACATCTCCTTTAAATCATCATACTCTCCGTAAGAAAAAGAAAAGGAAAAAAAAAGGAAGAATAGTTACAAAATAAATCATTATTCAACATTTTCTTTTTCCCATATTGATTATATAATTACTCAAATTTTCCGGTTCTTTCACAACATTAGTTAAACTCAAAGAAAGACAGAAAGAAGGGGAAAAAAAGGAAACGATAGGTCTCATTTATCTAACTAACATCAATATACTCATTGCCATTTTCTTTTCCCTAAAGAGTACATTAAAAAAAAATTTGATTATAAATCTAACCAAAAAAAATATGTAGCATATTTTTCTTTTTCCTATCTCAGGTGAAAATCAACAAATATCAGATCGTACATCTCCTGTCAATGGTCCCGGTTTAGCTAAACCTATATCAATGACATCATCTTTAAAAGAACATCGTTCATCACCATCATCTACAACTACTACTGCAGGAAAAAAACGTATTGATGCTGCATTAGAAAAAAATATTGAAACCATTGTTACACAAGTCCGTCGTACTACAACAAAACCATCACAATTAACACAAAATGATTTACAATTGTTTGATAGTACATCATCAACAGATAGTATTAAAAATGGTCATCATTCACGTGAAACAACACCAATTACATCAAATACAAATCATAAACATGTATCATCTTCATCATCACGTGAAATGACACCAGATTCAATTAATGCTGATTCAGCTAACGAAGATCAACAACAAACAATACGAAATGGACATCATTATCATCGTTCCGTACATCATCCACAATCAGCAACTGTTGATTTAACTCCGCCATCTATACCATCCTATGGACAACAAGCATGGCCTCCTGCTGTTTATCCATTTACTCATCAACATCCTGGACTTTATTTACCTTATCCACCACCACCATCAGCTACAACATCAACACCAACCAATGGTATACCAACATTTTATCCAACATATGATCCATTATTAATTGAACAACATTATGGTCCACAAGGATTATCTGCTTATTATAATCAACAACAACAACAAGCTCGTCTTTTACAAGAACATTCAATAATGTCAGGTACGCCAAACAGTACATCTTTATTTAGAGAATCACAATCATTAACAGATATATTTAATAATTCAATAAATAATACGAAAATTCCAAATCGTATAAATCCACGTCTAACAAATTTGAATGAACAACAGCAGCAACAAATCATGCTTTCACATCTTTATCTTAATCAAATTAGTTCACTTCCATATGTAACATTATATGAAAATTCTACGCCATCACATCAATTTAGATTTAATGGAGATATTGGTGAGAATGAGATAAATAATCGTTCTCAATGTTGTTTATTTGTGTTTTAATTATTCATATATATATATTTTTTTTTTGTGTATATAATATTTTTTTTTATTCTTTATTATTATTTTTATTTAGATAATCTATCATCATCAATAACAACACCAACAAGAGATCAAGGTGAAAATTCTCCTGTTGGTAGTGGTGAATCAGTAAAATCATCGGATTCAATATCAACGGGACATAGAAAAAAGAAATCAACATCACAATCATCTCAACAACAACAAATAACTAATGGTAGTTTAGCGAAATTATCACCAGATTTATCATCAGATGGTGCTGGTACAAATGATGCTGATAGTATTATTTCAGTAGAAAGTCAAAAATCAAATACAAATGCAAGTATGCCAGTACTTGAAGATGGTTTATCTGATTCAGAGAATTTAAGCGGTGAAGAACAATCATCTCCAATAAAATCAAAAATAAATGGTCGTCATCAATCGACTCAAAGTGATTTTTTATTTGATTCAAATCATTCATCATTAGTAACTTCGTCACATAAACGACAATTTGCTAAATCAACAACAAATGGTGTTGAATCTCAATCAAATTCATTTTATATACGTCCACCTCCACCATCATCATTTGTTCGACCTGTAACAAAAACAGCACGTTCAACACCACCTATTTCTACAAATGAACCAAATTTAAATCAACCAAAACCATCATCTGAAGAAACATCAACTATTCCGGCTGGTAAATAAATAATTTTTCTTTTTGTCTTTTATCGAGATTTAAAAGTAAGACAAACAAACTTTAGATGAAGGAACTATTAATCCAAAACCATTAACAAAAAAGGGTTTGTGACGCATGTTATATATTTTTTCTCCCTTAAGTTTGCTTTGATTTTGTGATTAGAAATAAGCATGAATCCATTTCTTTTTCTAGTTTTATCTAGAAAAGCTAAATCTATATTTGTTTAGATTATGATACTGATGAAGAAACAGACAAATTGCTTGGTGTTGAACATCGTATTAATGCAAAAAATCAAGCTATTCGTGATGCTGTATGTATTGAATATTAAAAAAATAATTCATAAATTATTTTATTTTATCTTTTTTTTAATAGGCCGTTTCAAAACCATCAAATAAACTTCCTAAAACACAAGAAGGTAAATATTTTTATTTGATTTTTGTCTTTTAACTCATTAATTTTTTCTTTCTTTTTTTCTTTAACAAAATCAAATAAACATATTTTTCTCTTTTTCTTTGTAAGTAATCATTAAAAAAAATATATGTCTGTGTTTTTATTTGAATGCATGTCGTCGTTTATAATCAATGATTATTATTTTAATAATAAATATGATTTTATTTTTTTCTTTAGTTCTTATTCAAAAATTTGCTAATCCAGAAAACTCATCAGTACTTATTGAAGGCGTTTTATTTCGTTGCCGTTATCTTGGTTCAACACAATTACTTGTCGAAGGAAATCCAACGAAAGCATCACGTATGATGCAAGCACAAGAAGCTGTTGGACGTATTAAAGCTCCACAAGGTGAAAGTCAACCATCAGTTGAAGTCGATTTATTTATATCAACTGAAAAAATTATGGTTTTAAATACTGATTTACAAGATATTTTAATGGATCATTCTTTAAGATCAATATCTTATATTGGTTAGTTATGATTGATTATTTAATATCGAATAGATAGGAAAGTAACGGAAAATAATTTGACATTGACCTTTTTTTTTTACGAACGAGGAGAATTTCTTAAGTGTTAAAAAGCTTTTAAAGTCAAACTAGGGAATAAATAGTTGATACTTAACAGTTTCCGGTTCTTCTTGACAAGTGCATCTAGTGATTGAGAACTGTCATACTTCTAATATATAGATCTTGTATTTATGAATGAATATAAAGTTGAATAATTTTTATTTGTTTAGCTGATATTGGTGACCTTGTTGTACTAATGGCTAAACGACGTTATTTACAACATACAGATGATAATACTAATGGTACTGATGAGTCTAATGAAACAACGACTCGTCGTGTTGTATCAATTAATCAAAAAATGATTTGTCATGTTTTTGAGTCAGATGAAGTGAGTTTATTTGAAAGAGAATTGAAATCATTCTTTTTTTTGTCTAAAGGCTCAATCAATCGCTCATTCGATTGGACAAGCATTTCAAGTAGCATATGTTGAATTTTTAAAAGCAAATGGTATTGATGATCCAAGTTTTACACGTGATATTGATTACCAAGAAGTATTAAATCAACAAGAAATTGGTAGTGAAGAACTAGATCGATTTTCTAAAAAAGAATGTCAAAAAGAAGTAAAACAGTTTATTTATTTATTTAAATAATTCTATTTGTTTATTTTTATTTTTCTTTAGGTTATCGTTCCAAAAGGAAAAAATGAACCACTTGGTATTGTTATTGTTGAAAGTGGTTGGGGATCAATGTTACCTACAGTTGTTATTGCAAATATGATGCCGAGTGGACCAGCAGCAAGGTTTGTTTATTTTAGATATTATTTGTAAAAAAATATTTTTTTTGTTGTTGATTAGATGTGGACATTTAAATATTGGTGATCAGATTATATCAGTTAATGGAATTAGTTTAGTTGGATTACCATTATCTTCTTGTCAAACACAAATAAAAGTATTAAAATTAATTTTCATAATATGAAATTTCATAGAAATTTGTTTTACTAGAGTGTTAAACATCTTACAACTGTACGGTTAGTCGTTGTTCCTTGTCCGCCAGTTGTTGAAGTACTTATCCGACGACCGGATACTAAATATCAAGTAAACACTTTCATTCTTCTACTTCGAAAATTTTATAAAAAAATAAACATCTTTTGATTTTTAGCTTGGTTTTAGTGTACAAAATGGCATTGTAAGTTATTTTTTAATTCATATTATAAATATCAATCATTAATTCTATTCTGTTTTAGATATGTAGTCTACTTCGTGGTGGTATTGCTGAACGTGGTGGTGTACGTGTTGGTCATCGAATCATTGAAATAAATGGACAGAGTGTTGTTGCTACTCAGCATGAAAGAATAGTTAGTATGTTATCAAATTCAATCGGTGAAGTAAGTTATTAATTGAATATGCATATATATAAACTAAATTATTTTTCTATTCAGCTTCGAATGAAAACAATGCCAACACAGATGTATCGTCTATTAACTGGACAAGAAAATCCAATATATATATGAAAGTCTTTCCTGTTGTTTGTTTGTTTTTTTTTAATGAAAACTAATGTTGTCATCATTTTCAGTATTCGATCTCAAATTGTTGTTCTTTAACTCGAAGAGTAAATGTGATATTCGCTTATTTCTGTCTATCACACGCACACACATACGAATATAAATCAAGCAATATTATTTGAATATCATATACTATTATGAAATCTCTTTTGTTTGTACATAAATCGTTTCGTTTTTTTTTAAATTCTGTCGAACAACGAAATGTGTGAACAGTGTTTGGTGTATTTATTGTTCTTATTAACTGAACTCCACTTTTTAAATAACAGCATATAGATGATGATTATCTCGTTTGTTCTTCTTCATTTTTTTATATGAATCTCTAGAACCTCACATACTCATGTTCGGCCTTCTTTTTTTTCTAATTGTATTACCTCTTCTTGTTCGCTACTCCTCTTTTTTTTTGTTATATATACAGTCAGAATGATGCTGATGATAAAAAATCAAGAATATTTCATTGATGTATCAATGGATAATGTATGTGAAAGAAATAAAGTTTGTCTTTGTTAGATAGATTTTTTTCTACAAATATACATATAAATGATAATATAAATATTCTATTTCACTAGATTAATATTTTTAGCTTTTAGTACATGTCATAAAAATAATTAGACAAGACATGCAAACAAGAAGAAAAAGAGAGTTGTATGATATTTATAGATTCTCACTACAGAACGTGATAGAGTATTAAAAGAATTGAATCAAGCATATTCTAAATTGTTCGTTAACTAGTAATTGAATACAAAGTCTTTACAGATCATACTGACATATTCTCTTTCTCGTAGAGAAGAGTTTTGTTAACAAATAAATTGTTTGCTTGCTTGTGTGTCAGCACTTTACTGATTAATCTGAAAACAAAAATGATTGGTTTTCACAAACTTTGATCGAAGGGTAATCGGGATCGAAGAACTCAAATCTGAAGTCGGTTTTTCGAAATTGTTTAAATAGCTAGTTTACAAGTAGTGAAGACACGCCGTTTCTACAAAAGAGCAGAGCTAGTTCCCAGACGAGCGTTGCTTGTTTTATGACGAAAAGATATAGTTGGAAATTTTCACTGATAACTAGATATTCCTCAAGTGGTAATAAAGCATTCGAGAAAAGGCTGTGGGTGTTAGTTTTAATGGACGTGGGTATGAAACTGGATACTCATTTCATTCATCATCCTAGTCCAAAGCCACACCCACCCTCAAGATGGTTCAGACACAATATTATATCTCGTAAAAGTCTTTTTCTACAATACATGTCTCTTGATATGTATTGTTCATATTACTGATGAGTGTTACCACCCGTTTGTGTCTCAACAACATCAGAGTTTCTCTGTACCCAGGCGCATTTAAAACAATTCTTTTCTCGTTTAAAAAGGTTTGTTTTTTCTATTTCATAAAAACAAATTTCATAGCAATACAATTTATTATATATTTTTACACGTTCGAGATTCTTTCTTCGTTGTTGTAAAGTTGGATGATTGGAAGGTAATGATTGTTGTGCTATTTGTACAGCACGCTCATAAAATTTACGGACTTTTGAGTAATTACCCATGTTTTCATATACTAAATCAATGTTGTTGTAGGACGAAGCAAAGTCAGGATGATTGGAAGGAAGTGATTGTTGTTGAATTTCAAGGGTTTTTTCATAATAAGAAAGTGCTTTCGGATAATTACCCATGTTGTAATGCACTGCACCAATGTTGTTGTAGGAAATTGCCAAATCAGGATGGTTGGGATGAAGAGTTTTTTGATAGAGAGCAAGCGATTTTTTATAGAATGTAAGTACGTCTTCATATTTTCCACGATTTCGTTTGAGCATACCAACTTGATGATAAATAGGCGCCTTATTCTCATCATCGTTTGTTTGATCAAGTGAAACTTGATAAATATCTTCAGCTTTGTGAAATTGACCCATATCAGATAATACCGAACCCAATCTGTACCATCCTTAAGAGTTTGGACAACTCTCTTTTCGAATGTATTCAGTAAGTCTGCTTAATTCTGGATCGTTGTCAGCAGTCAGTACCAAGTTAACTTCATATAAACGATTATTTTCAGCTATCTGTTTAAAATCCTGAATACGAAATACACTATGCATCGAAAATAAGATTTCCTCTTCTTCTTGGAAGTCACTAATACCAGCAATGGAAGCAAATGGTGTTGTTGATTGCCCAGGATTAATTTTCATGATAAACAGAACACCGACTTGATCTGGACTTCTTCCAGCATTTTGAGCAAAACCCAGTGAAACTTTGCGAACCGTACTAGTAGATAAGATGTTATTGAATGAAATAAGACCACCTTTGATGTTCATCATTTTTTCAAAATCCTTTGTAGATAAACCTTGACCACGATAAACGGTGAAGGTGTTAGCAGCAGTTGCACTGGCATATTGTTTCTGATGTAGTTTTTCAATCTGTCGATGTAAATCACCAATGAAGAAACCCACACGTGTAATGATATCACCATCCATCAATCGTAATGCACGATTGAGCATAGGATATAAGAATATTTGACATGTGTACCAATAAATGGATATTTTTCTGTGATATTTACCTTCTAATCGTTTAATATTCTTGATTTCTTTTTTATCACCTTCAAAAGCATCACGACAATAACTAAAATAATCTTGTATGTGATGTTGGTTGAATTTGATGATCAGTAGTATTTCTTTGATGATTTGTGTGTACATAAAAGAAGGATCTAATTGATCCAACTTTTTATTTGTTTCCATGAAACTCATGGGAATAGCATTTTGCTCACATTGAAGAGCAACTTCCTTGAGTGCTTCACAGATGCATGTAATATGTGTGAAGATACCCTTTATTTTGGGCCAATCTGTGGTCCACTGTTCATGATATTTTCTGTTACCGCAAAAGATAAATATTGAATCAATTTGAGACATATTGTGCACACGAGGCACAATATGTTGCCGAAGTGATCCAGATATAATCATACATACTCTTTTGTCGACAATGGTTTGAATGAATTCGAGACATTGGTCACCATTTGTATGTGTCTTGATGTCGTTAACAGTACGTCGTAATTTTGTGATCGTGTTTTGACAATCATGATTTGTTTCGTCAATGTTACTGCCTAATCAGATTAAAAGAACATTCTGCATCTGTTGGATAGTGATACATCGATGACCTTCTGCATCTGTTGGATAGTGATACATCGATGACCTTCTGCATCTGTTGGATAGTGATACATCGATGACCTTCTGCATCT